AATTTTCAAAACACATACATAAAATTTTTTTAAATATTTTTCTGATAGCTGTTATGACTTTGCCTATCACCCGGTTTTGGCTTGACGTCGACTTCTGGGACACCCTGTATACTCCAGGTCGAACATTGATCGTACCTAAGTGAACCTACCTAATAACGATTCGATTTCGCCTTTTGAAACGATTTGACTGATCCATTTTCTTTGAAACCTCCAACGAAGACGTAGGAAGCGTAGAGTCAATCTACTTGACGCCATTTTTTTGAAGTTATCTGCTATCTTTAAAGTCCCGAACGTTGTTTACGTTGTGCTGTTTTTCAACATTGAATTAATGATGACATTAGTATGTTCGAAGTGTTAGACGAAGAAATTCAACGTACTAACATTTCTGTCGCTAACATAATTCTTCTAAATAAGGAAGTTCACGATTTTGCTTCGCTATAATAGGTATATTGTGAAGGTAAAACGTAGTTTTTTACGTAAAGTTTATACAAATGAACCTAATTTATGCAAATCTTGCTTGTGTTTGTACCAACGTACAGCCGATTTCCTTCTTATATGTACATGAAATCTTGAAACGCTCGCGTTTAAAGGTTTTGATTTGGAATAGTGACGGGAACAGCGTGCACCTCGTATGAGCTAAATGGATATATCTCTTATACTTGATAATAATAATGTTTTATTGCCCAACAGAAACTCCATTTACAGTGCAAACAAGACAAAAAATAACTTCAGGGTGAGCTTTCGGAGTGTAATCAGTTGATAGCTCTGTTATGAAAAAATGTAGAAAAGTTATTTACAAAAATTATAGACAAATATATCCTCTTTATTTGAAAAATATGCAGCACTCTACACGGTGATTCATAACTACGTGGCAACACAAAAATAGTGTTTTAAAATGGAATACAGTATATTCTGAAATGCATATATGAAAGATGAAGTTTTATATAGCATGTATACGTATATTGGATCGATACTTTTGGAGTAACGGGATATTTTGTCCGAAAAAATACCCATTATGACAGCTTTAAGTCAGGCACTTTTGCAGATTGAGTATCTGAGTATATTCCAGAGATTTTTGCCTTTTATAGCATCGTTCATACAAGGTGTTTCTAATCACAAAATGTGAATTTACTCAAACAATTCAAATTAAACACCCTGTACATTTTAAAAACTTTAAACTTTATTTTAGGAGGTTAAATCGCTAAACTGTTGAGTTATTTGTATTTATCCATACCAAAATAAATAGTAACTTTTATTGAAATTATCCTCCATCCATGAATGAATGTGAGTTTTCGTGGTAGTTTCAAGATTTGATCTATGGTGAGTCTATAATTAGACTGACTGCTGTTTCGATTGCAACAAAGCTGCATGAAAAATTACAAAACAATAACAAATGATACCTACAAGAAACAATGGTGTAGCATTTATAAACACTGTTTAGCCATCTGGCAATTAGCATATTAGCAAAATTAAAATAAATAACGGTTATTTCCATTTCAGCTTGAAAACTAAACAGTCAGCACTAGTCAGCTCTTTTGTGAAGACAACAATATGTACTATTTTCTCTATTGTCAACCATAACAAATTATGTAAATTCAAAAAGTCTCGTGTATGTTAAGTACTTGGGCCTTTTGATTTTATACTCATTGACACTAGAAGTATTACACCCAGAAAAAATAATTTCTTCAACTTGATTTCTTTGGCATTGAGGTAGTCTTACTTCAAGAAATTTTATTGACAAGTAATAAGAAAAGAAATTAATGTGTTGGGCGACCCCACAGCTGAATATAATCCTGTATACATTTGGGCATCGACAAAATGAGATGGTCGATGTCTGGTTGTGGCACTTCATTCCAAGCAACTCGCACTTCGTGGATTAGCCTTGGCAGAGTCTGTGGCGGATGGTGCAAAGTGGATAGTCTCATCTCCATCATATCCCACACATGTTCGATGCGATTTAAATCCGGTGAACGGGGTGGCCGCGGCAAAACATTACGGCCTACTTCTTGAAGAAAGTCCGTAGTACGACGATCAATATGAGGTCGTGCGTCGTCTTGCTGAAAGAGGACGTGTGGACGGCCCTCTAGATAGGGCACTAAAGTGGTTTGTAGGACATCATCAACATAACACACAGCAGTCATATTGCCTTGAACAAAGAGAAGGGGTGATCGGCTACCATAGAAAATCGCCCCCCAAACCATTACTCCAAGAGCCCTGCGTACATGCCTGTCAACAGCACATCCAATATCACCCTGTTCTTCACGGCGGCGTCGTACCCTTCTACAACCATCGTGCGAGCCTAGATAGAACCGCAATTCGTCGCTGAAGATGACATTATGCCATTCTGCCTCCCAATATTGCCGTTCTCTGCTCCAGTTCAAACGTTGACGACAGTTGTCCGAAGTCAGAGGAAGCACTGGACGGTATGAAAAAAGTCCAAAGGCTTGAATGCTGCGATAGAGTGGACGCATAGTAACAGGTCTACCTTCTTCTCCAAACCATTGGTCATCGATCTGACGCGTAGTGGCAAAACGGTCTCGTAAGGCTAGTTGTCTGAAGCGTCTGTCTTGACGCTCTGTGTTACGCCTCGGTGGACCAGTTGGCCTTCTTCGTATTCCTCTACCTTCTTCTATCCACACACGACACACACGCATTACCGTCATAGCAGTACAATCCAACATCGCTAACATGGTGATAATTCGTACGTCTTCGAACACGAGGCATTTCGTTATACTTAACACTAGTAAATGAGAATAACTAGAAATATATCTACTACTTAGCTCTCAGAAACTACTTTCCACACCAAAAACTAAGATATAACATTTTAACAAAGGTAGATAAAAACAAAGGTAAAATGTTGACATTGTTGCCACAGCATGCTTTAAATACTCGTATAGTCATTATGTTGCCAAAAAATCAAGTGAAAGAAATTATTCTTTCTGGGTGTAACACTTCTAATGCTACTGAATATATTATCTTAGAATTGAAAATATGACTCCTAACCTGTTTTTAACTCGTAGAACTTACTGTAAGATTTTATGAGCATCCCATAAATGTTTTATTTTGATTTTTTATGTCGGGTACTTCGCGCTAAGAAAGTTCCATCTTTGATTATCTAAGGCAGCTGCATCAAAGGAATGTCATGTAAAACGTTAAATTAATCCATGAAACGACTTTAATTCGATTAAAGGTTTCATTAATTTACAGTAAGTACACGAGGTGGAGCGAATCTTTCTTTGCTAAATCAAGTCATCAAAAAACTCATTTATTAACGAGTTAACGAATCATTATTGTTTGAGGCATTTGAGAAAATACTCTTTACATAATTTTTAATGCCATTTTAGTCGGTGGAGTAACAAAAACATGTTTTAAAAACGAAGATTGTGTAAGGCATCGGTAGCTTTAGCTGTAATAGAGGAGCTCAATTTCATCTTATTAGTTTTCCCATTATTCTTTCACAACGTTTCAACTGAAAGGGGTCCAATTTGCGCTTCTCAAACTAAAAACTTGTTGATCCAATAAAATTCCAATAAAACATTTAAATGAAAATCAGAATACATAATCGTGGAAAAAGAAGTCCCTTGTGAGGCGAGGTGTACCTGTGCTCCACCACGGCGTTGTAAATACTTAAGCTACTATTTACACTTGACAATAATGGATTTTCAAAGAATGCAGAGTCAATAAGCCCAGGAGTCCGCTTTAGTGCACTTTCCTCTACAAGGTATGTCGCAAAGTAAACAGAACCTTAGAAAGATGTCCGATACAACTAGCGCCATCTATAGCGTTGGATAGGTGCATATTTCATTGGTGCCCTGTCACGCGGAGTTATTGCGCTCAAAGTAACAGTACCTTTTTAGCATCGGTCGAAAAATGAGCATCGAACAAAGAGCCAATATTAAGTTCTGTGTTAAACTTGGTAAAACATTTACCGAAATGCATCAGATGTTGATGCAACTGTATGGTGATGATTGTTTATCTCGTGGCCGAGTCCAGGGGTGGTTTATACGGTTTAAAAAGGGTCCGTCGAAAACGTGTATGAATTTATCAAAAATGATTCAAAATCTCCATTGAGATACATAGAAATGGAATTAACTATCTCTAAGGATTCAATTCATCGCATTTTGAATAAGAATTTGGACACGAGAAAGGCGTGTTCACGGTTTGGTCCGCAGAAGCTCAGGGATGACAAAAAATTGCTTCGAATTGATTATTCGAGAGATAGCATTGAAGAGGCCAAAAAAGACAAAAACTTTCTGTACAACAATGTGACTGGTGACAATCTTGAAACCAAGCGTCAAAGTGCCAAACGGAAGCACCCAAAGGAGCCAAATCCGAAACAAAGCCATTTGGAAAAGTCCAAAGTGACTTTGTTGATTTGTTTCTACGTTTCGAAGGGAATTATTCACAAGGAATTCATTCCACCAGGCCAAACGGTTAATGTTGTGTTTTATCTTGGTGTTATGAGGCGTTTGCTGTCGTGTATTCGTCGTGTTCGGCCAGAATATCGCCAAGAAGGAAGCTGGCGTTTGTTGCATAATGCACAATCTCATCGATCGACGCTTGTCAGATTTTTTGACAAAAATGGCATTCTAACCATATTCTCTTGATACGGCATCGTGTGACTATTTTCTGTTCGGTAAACTACATTTGGCCATGAAGTGACAAAGGTATGCCGACGTAAAGGCCATCCAAAAGGCATCGATGACCATTATAAAGGACATACCGGTCAATGAGCTAAAATCATCATCAAAAATCTTTTGGTCCGTGCAAATCGCTGTCTCTGGAGGAGACTATTTTGAATAAAATAAATTCGGTTTGCCGAAACAAAAAAAATTTTTTTTCTTTGTCCTGTTTGCTTTGCGACAGACCTTGTATATTACTATCCACCTTGGCATAATCGCGAAAAATTTAGAAATTAGGATGTTATATGTCACGTGGATTATATGTCTACGATACCAATACGAAGATTTTGATGCTCATTGGTATTGTTTTTGTTTCAGAATGGAAGACTGTTTATCGAAAAAGAAACCGAAGGAATAGGATTATGTCCGTACGATCCAGAACATAACAGTACAGCGGTATTTAGTAACGGCCACCTCTACTCAGCAACTGTAGCTGATTTTTCAGCTACCGATCCCTTGATATACAGAGAACCTTTACGTACTGAACTCTCTGATCTCAGGCAGTTAAATGGTAAGAAAAACGCATTTTGATTAAATAAATAAACAGATTTTTTCATTTATTTCTGCCATACTCGAAAAGGGCTTTAGGCAATTTTGTTTTTTTATCTCGCGAGCAACTACCGTTCTTTCAAATTCAAACGTATTCTGGAAAAAGTCTGATGTTACATTAACAAGTCATCATATAATACAGGATGGACCAGAATTTCAAAACCGCATTGCTAGTGATAGGCACGCAGGAGCAGGAGACGGGTGGTGGGGATAAGTAGGTTGGTGCTCGAAAGTTTAGTCGCCATGAAGCGTTTCACCGGTGAGCAGCGTGCGTTCTGGGCTAAGGCTTATTACAAAAATCGAGATTCGTGAGCTGTCGCGCGGCGTCTGTTTCGCTCTGAGCTTAGTTTACATGATCTAAATCAATGTCCTAGTGAAAGTCTGATCAGGTCGTGGGTCATAAAGTTCGAGTCTACCGGTTCGACACTGAATCAGAAATCTGCGGGGCGTTCAAGGACAATACGAACAGAGGAAACTGTAAGCGAAGTTGCGACGTCCGTACGACGCGATCTACAGTATCATTCCGGAAGAGATCATCTCAGCTCGCCATGTCAAGAATATCCGTAAGGCGTATTTTAGTAAAAGATCTTAAATTGCACCTTCAACTACTGCAGGTATTGATACCACAGGACCAGCATCTACGCCGTGCGTTTGCCGAAATTAGATAGAGCGCTTTCCAAGTCTGAACAATATTCTCTTTTCTGATTAAGCTCGTTTTTATTTGAGTGGAATTGTCAACAAGCAAAGTTACCGGTGTTGGGGCGTAGAAAATCCCAAATCAAAACATCAACGACCTTCGCATTCGCGGTATGTTGCAGTTTGGGCGAAATGTCGAAATGTTTAGTGGAAAACTGATATCGCGACGAGGCCTCCCCGGAGCCCAGATCTTACACCACTGGATTTTTTTCTCAGAGGATACCTCAATAGCCGTGTTTACGCCAATAAACCGACGACGATTGCCCAGCTCAAGCACAATATTTCCGAGGAGATGTCCGCTACCCCACGAGCGATGTGCCAGCGAGTTTTCACGAATTTGAAGTCGATATTCGAGGAGTACGTACGTCTCGATGGCTCACATCTCAATAAGAATAAAATTCCCACGTGTCTCCTTTATTAAAAATATATATTATCTTCCCTACACTTTGTAATTTTTTTTCCTACGATTTTTTAAAATCTGCTGAACTTAATGGCCCACCCTGTATTTCAAGGTTTCGTCAAGTTAGTCCTACATTGTTCTTTAAAAGCCTAAAGATCGCAATTTTGTCCGAAATTCTCGCATTTTCGGATATTTAACTTATATCAGGGCCAAACGACGAACGTTGAATACTATCCCAAAAAAAATGTTTCCCTTGACTATGGATTGTCACATTGTCCGTAGGTGGTAGACGGACGTTAACAAATGATACTTTGTTATCAAAATAGAAATTAGATATATCCTTTATATCCATTGTTGATCTTGGATTTCAAAGTATGTCTGTCCAAGTCACAGCGACGAGGCAGCACGGTAAGGTTTAAGTATCTACTGAAAGTGTAAAGTATTCACTTATCAGTTATGAGTATTTTTTTGTAAATAAGAACCCGAAAAATTGATAAACCTACGTGCTTCCTTATCAGTATTAATAAACTATTATTCACTTCGTTGTAAGTGTTTACTAGCCTTATGAAGCTTTTACTGTATCGGGTCCGTTTTAACTTTCTAGTACTAAATATTTATTATTCGCTTTAGCAAATATCTCGTTAACGATGCGACTTAAGTTAGTGTTCAACATGTACTGTTTCCAAATTATTTTCATTACTAAGAGAAACAATAAAAATGACTTACTTTGTAATGTGAGTTTTATTATACAGAGTTTTTTTGCTTTCAGCTCCAAATTTTGTGAGTTCTCTAACGTACGGCGACTACATATATTTCTTCTACCGTGAGACTGCAGTTGAGTACATGAACTGTGGTAAGGTGATATATTCACGAGTAGCGAGGGTGTGCAAGCATGATAAAGGTGGCCCCCATCCTTCCACCAGAGACAGGTGGACCACATTTTTGAAAGCAAGACTGAACTGCTCCGTACCGGGAGAGTACCCGTTTTATTTCGATGAAATACGTAAGTTATTTGAAGTTCAATATTATCATAGAATAGTAGTAGATAGTATTTCCAAATTCTATTAAATGCGACAAAGAAGCAAGGCCCCAAAAATTATTGAATCCTATTCAGAAAATCTTAGTAATATTCTGAGTAAAAAGCATGACCAAAAAAAGTAAAGTATAATTTCAAAATCGAAAAGCAATTACAGAGTGTTAGGGAAATAATATTCGTAACTTTAAGAGGTGATTCCTTGCATTATTGTAAGCAAAAAAGTTCATTATAACCTATGTCCCAAAATCAACCGTTTCGGAGCAAAAAAATGCTGAACTTATTCCTTTTTAGTCATGAAATAAATTAATTTTGCACCTTAATAATTTAAATCCATATGCCTATTAGCATAAAATGTGTCTCTAAAAAAATAAGTTTCTTGCTTATTAAATACAATTTTCCCAAGAAAAACAGACAAACAAAATTCCTCACACAACTGGCAACGTCGTACTCCGCCTACACTGCATGTGTCATCGCGTGTTGTTGTGATTACTAATACATTTAACTATAACTTATGTGATTTACGGATGTTGTTTTTTTTTCTTTTTTCGTGCATCACATCGTTTCAAATAAGTGACTGATAATCGCGAGAACTGGTAGTGTGTATCGCCACGTACCGGTAAGTTCTATCATTTTTTTTAAGTAAATGTACTGTAATGAAAGTGTTATTAAATAAAAAATATCAGCCACACAAAATTGCGTAAAAGTATGCAATAATTCAAGGCATATTTTCAACAAAAATATCATACAAACGTAAACAATTCGATGAATCAGTTTCGGTCGTCGTGCGCTCGTGTCGCGATTGCGTTGTAGCGTTGCCAAATGTTTGAGAAAATTTAATTATTTAGGACTCACTTTCCTTGAAAACGATTGATTTTCGAACATGTTATAATGAACTTTTTTGCTTCGAATAATGCAAGGAATCACCTCTTAAAGTTAAGAATATTATTTCCCTAACACCCTGCATATCTACCAAGTATGTTTAGGTATTGACTACATATAGCGTTAACAGCATAGCCAATATACAGGGTGACTTCGAAGTTTACACAGTGAGTAGATCTGATCAAAAGAAATGTTTTTTCCTTTACCATTTTTCTGGTAAAATTAAAGTAACAAAGTTATAGCCCTTTGGAAGTTTGAGTACCGCCCAGTTTCAATATCATGTGCTCGTGTTTGGCAACAACGGATATAATCCGCCTTACCGGTTCATCGCATCGGAAACAAAAAAGCGAACGATGTTTGTACAATTTATTATTTTATTCAGTTCAGTTATACATACAGTCAGTGTCAGTCGCGTGTGAATAGTGTCTGTTGCGTGGCTCAAACGAAATAAAAAATGGCACATGTTTATGCGGATCGGTTTCCCAATCGAGTGCAACCAACCCCTCGTGCCTTTGTTAATGTAGTACAACGGGCTCGTGAATCAGGTGACTTAAGACCTCACAGGGGACCTCACGATCAAATACAGGTCCGCACTGAAATACTTGTCGGGAGGATACTTTATAAAACAAGGTAAACATTTTTTTTTAATTTTTTTTTTATTTTTACACACATATTTTGGTTTATCTTCCTTCTACAATCATTATCTGAAAATTAATGACTCAACTTCAAAGTCACCCTGTATAAAGGGTGATTCACAAGTCGTGACAAAAAATAAAACATCATACCCAGGACCGCATTTTAAGGGGGGTCGTCTAACATTTTTTCCTCGAGGGCTTCATTAAAAAGATACGGGGTGTTGAAGTTTAAAAATAAAAAACATTTTTTTTAATATCTTCAAAACCGTCAACTGGGATGAACTAAAATTTGGTATGTGGATTTACCTAAGTATTGTCTACATTCAAAGGTCCTTACTTGAAATTAACGTGCACCAGTGGTGGCGATACAGGGGATTAGTGGCATTATTTTTCCAAATAAAAATAGTATGCCACTTTTTTTCTCGAAACGCGCAATTTTTCTTTCAATTTGCTACAAATAATTACTCTCGTGTTTTTTCCTAGAGTACATTGTTTTCGTAAAAGAAAACAAATTAGATTAAAGCTTTATTTCATTAAATGTTCTGACGGATACAAGTGCAGTATCTTTTTAATAAATAAAAAAGTATTTCCGAAAAATTTGTTGTGGCTTGAATTTGATGAAACGCATTATCTATTCTTTATTGTAACTGATCAACAGTATTAATTTGTTCAGCATACACTAGTTTCTTAAAAGCGCCTCACAAAAATAAATCCAGGGGATTCAAATCAGGAGACCTCGCAGGCCAATGTATGGGTCCGTTTCTGCCAATCCATGGTTTGCCTAAAGTGGTTATTTAACCATGCGGTTATGTCACGAGGAACATGCTAACGGAACATCATCTAACACATTTTCTTTGTAAATCTCTAGAAATGCTAAGTATGAGCTTGCATTTAAATGTTGAAGGAAAAACGTGCATAAACAGTTGGCTATTAACAATTCCGCACCAGACATTTCTAAAAAAACTGTGTTGAAACGAGTGAATCCTTACTTTTAACTCCTGGAAGTTTGGCAATTCCATATTGCCGAAGTCTTAGATATGAACGCGTAAAAACCTTTATGGTAGGTTGGCGTCTGTACGTTGATGCTCTCGAGAAGCCGCTAAAGCATTTCCATTACAGAACCCGTACTCAAAAATAACATCGGCGTACTCATCATTGCTAAATTCCATTTCACAACACTCAAAAATGTAAAAAAGAAACTTTTGACTTGACTTTTACAAAAAAAAAATGGTAGTAGTAACGATAACACATAACTTTGAAAAACTATCTCGCAAGAAACGTCAAGTTTTTATCAAGGCCTCCTATTTTATTTTGAAACTAATTGTATCTCGGCTCTTCGTGAATGGTCTAATTTGTTTTATTTTTATTTTTACGAAGAAAGTGTACTCTAGGAAAAAACACAAGAGTAATTATTTGTAGCAAATTGAAGCTAAAATAAAAAAATGCGAGTTAAAAAAACAGTGGCACACTATTTTTATTCGGAAAAATAATGCCACCAACCCCCTGTATCTCTGCCACTGGTGCACGTTAATTTTAAGTAAAGACTTTGGAATGTGGACAATACTTAGGTAAATCCACATACCAAATTTTAGTTCATTCCAGTTGACGGTTTTGGAGATATTAAAAAAAATGATTTTTATTTTTAAACTTCAACACCCCGTATCTTTTTAATGAAGCCCTCGAAAAAAAATGTTACATAGAAGACCTCCCCCCCCCCTTAAAATGCGATCCTGTGTATGATGTTTCATTTTTGGTCACGACTTGTGAATCACCCTGTATAAAAATATCGTGCCTGAGACTATCCCAGTGGCGTAGGCGTTGGGGAATTTTAACTCCTACAGAAGAAACAATTTGAAATATTTTCTACGCAACCGACTTTTTTAAAACACCTATTGTATTTTTGAATGAGGTATTCATTCTTACATGTCTTGAGAAATTATTATAAAGTCTAGAAAATATCATTTTGTTACAGAGTCAACTAGTGGTATAATAGAGGGCAAATACGGCCGAGAAGGCACCTCAAAAATAGTTTACGGCACTCTGACAACACCAAATAACGCCATTGGTGGCTCAGCAATTTGTATGTTCCGAATGGACGATATTGAGGACGTTTTCAATGGTCCCTTCAAACATCAAGAAAGTATAAATGCCAACTGGCTTCCTTTGCCAGAACATAAGGTAAGTGAGGTCCACCATTACCACTATAGTAGTCGACATTTTCTAAGTGGAAAATTAAAATCTAAACTACACTGCTCCTCAGCACAAGATCATTCATATACGTATAATGCGAGTAGGATGTATAATCAGCTTCCACAAGAAGTCTATCTAAACATGAACAAGTTCAAATTAAAAACGTTATTTGTTTGATATGCAGTAGGATTAATCTTTTTAAATTCATATTTTGTTATCTCTTTAATATTTTTATATACAGGGTGTTCCATAATTATTGCGACAAAATGATAGGGGTTGTAGAGGGCATCAAAATGAACAATTTTTCCTTATAAACCCCTGTTCGGAAACATGCCGTTTGGGCTGCAGCAAAAAAAAAAAGATCAGTTTCTTGAAACAGCTTACCTACAGTAATTGCTCAAAGTGTCCTCCACCTTGCTCAATACACACCTGTTCACGATTGTTCAATGATCGGCGAACTCTGTGGCATACCCCCGGTATGTCCTGAACATGTGCGGACGCGGCCATCACTCTTCCCAGTAGCTCTTGTTGGTTGGGAACAGGAGTTTCGTACACTAAAGCTTTCAGATAGCTCCAGATAAAATAATCCAGTGGAGTCAGGTCAAGTGACCGCGCAGGCCAAGGCACAGGGCCACCTCGGCCTATCCACCTATTTGGAAATTTGTCGTCCAAATACTGCCGCACTTGTAAAGAAAAGTGGGCTGGACCGCCATGGTGTTGAAACCACATGTTGGCTCTTATATTCAGTGGCACATTTTCTAATAGTTCCGGTAGCACATGCTGTAAGGATCGACCATAAGCATGCCCATCCAAACGTGGTGGAAGCAGATATGGCCCGATGATATGCTCGTCCACAATGCCGCACCAGATGTTAATTGAAAACTGATGTTGGTCTCTATGGATGACTATGGCATGAGGGTTTTCTTCATCCCAAATGTGACTGATACGGCTATTAAAATAACCGTCCTTTGTAAAACAGGACTCGTCAGTGAACAAAACGTAGCGACCAAAGTTTGGTTGCCTCAACTCCTGCTGCAGCCACCAACGACAAAAACGTCGACGCGGCAGATAGTCTGCTGGACCCATGGCTTGGACTTTTAAAAGGTGGTACGGGTGTACGATAACAAAAATGTAAACACAGCAGGCTTTTTCTACAAACCGGCGAGACCATGAAATGTGCTAGACGAACATTTTGCAGCTGGTGAATTTTTTGTTTCTCCTATGAGCTCTTAAGGTAAAATTAACTGTAGTGCTCAAACGGCATATTTACGAACAGGGGTTTATAAGGCAAAATTGCATATTTTTATGCCCTCTACAACCCCTATCATTTTGTCGCAATAATTATGGAACACCCTGTATAGTTATAGGTGGATATCTATATTGGTTAGTTTTTTTATCATAAAATTTACTGCACCTGTCGTTATATATTTTGAATAAAGGATAATAACTACATGTACAGTAGCGGAATAAAGTTTGGAAACATTCTTAGTAATTTTTAAAAAGTGCGCTAATTTTTTATTCTTTATTATTGAGGACTATGTTTTTTTCTCATATAGCTTGTTTACAGTCTTGAGGATACAAATGACAATTTGTGTTTGTTGTGGTACTATAGACTAGCATTAAAATAGATTTATATTATTTTATGACCTAAAATGAGACGACAAAAGTCTCTTTATTACAAAATTAAATGAAATAACTCTAGAAAAAGATTTAAAAAATACGGTTTAGCTAATATTTGGTAGCCATTCAACACTACCTGACATCTGCTGCTCATAGAAGACACCAGTTATTTATAGACGTCTGTTGGGATATTTTGCCAAATATTTTTTACATAATCAAATAAATCGTTCCTATTTTTTAAGTTTTTCTGGTCAGTTGTCTTTTAACATGCTCCCAGAGATGGTCTATAGGGTTTAGGTCCGGGGATTGCGAAGGCCGTGTAAGAACATTAACATTTTTTAGTCTTAACCAGTGGTTTACGAATGTTGAGGTATTGTTTGGGTCGTTATCCTGCTGGAATGTCCATCGTAAAGGCATTTCTTCTTCAGCAAAAGGGAGCATGTGTTCACTGAGAATATCTTTGTAAAGTTTTTGATCCATTTTCCCAACAATTTTAACAATTGGACCCGTTCCAAAACTATAAAAACAGCCCCAAAACATGATATTGCCACCATATTGGACAATTTTGGTTTTTGAGATATCAATATACGACTGCATTTACCCTCTAACTAAGCATCTTATATTGGAATCACAGCAATGGATTCATGCGTAACCGTTCAACCGTCTCAAACTTAATGGAACTTACTCAGGAAATAGCAGGTGTTTTGGATGATAAAGGCCAGATGGATGTAGTCTGTACTGACTTCTCAAAGGCCTTTCGATAAGATTAGTCACAATAAGATTATTGGCAAGCTGCCATATTTCGACTTTGGCTTTCGTTTGCAAACTTTTCACTTCCTACTTAAGTGGAAGGACTCAATACGTCTCTTATAATGGTTTTAATTCTTTTGTTTATAATGTATCATCTGGGGTGCCTCAAGGGGCAAATCTTGGGCCTCTTCTGTTACTTTATTTTATCAGCGATCGGATTGACTGTCTCACTTGTCCTAGCTTGTTCTTTGCTGATGATCTAAAGATCTATCTACGAATAAATGTTGCTGCAGACTGCTCAATTTTTCAAAATAATCTCGATCGTCTCTCAGATTGGTGCAAGAATAATGAGTTATTTCTGAATGTCACAAAATTTGTTCATATACCCGTAAAATACGTCCGATAACTTTTGACTACAAACTGGAGCACGAGAGTTTAGTGAGATGCTCCGAGGTGAAAGATTTAGGTGTTTTGTTTGACAACAAATTAGAATTCACCTGTCATATTAATAAAATAGTTTCGTCCGCTATGAAGACACTCGGGTTCTTGGTAAGAAACTGCAAATCTTTCTCTAGTGAAATTGCGCTGAAAGCGCTATACTGTACGCTAGTTCGGTCAAAGCTGGAATATGCATCAAGTGTATGGAACCCTTGCTACCAAAATCATATTAATTCAATTGAGGGCGTACAGCGCCGTTTTTTGAAGTACTTGACATTCAAATTGGATGGTATCTATCCGATGCGAGGCAGTGATCAAATGACTATGCTGTTTAGATTCGAGATGCAGCCGCTAGAGTTAAGAAGAATTAATAACAGTTTAAGATTTCTTTATAAGCTCGTCCATAATCAAATTGACTCTCCGGCCTTGCTATCCAAACTCAGTTTTCATGTGCCATCTCGCGCTTCACGTAGATGTCCGGCTTTTTATTTGAATACGTCAAGATCAAATGTTTTGATCAGGTCTCCCATTTACTTTATGTGTTCTAACTTTAATGCAATAGCAGATAATTGTGATATTCATTATGACAGTATCGTTGAGGTAACGACTAAATCCAATGAATATTGCTATCTAATATACAACTTTTATGTGCATAATTTAATGGTAGTCGTCCTTTTCTAAATATTGTTTTTTTCTATTTTGTATTTACAATTATTTAATTTAAACATTTTGTTATTATGTTTTATGAACACTTTTGTTCTTTTTCACTTATATTTTCCTATAAATGGATGCTTCTGTTGGGCAATAAAGAATTATTATTATTATTATTATTATTATTATTATTATTATTATTATTATTATTATTATTATTATTAACTGTTGGCGACTGATACTTTTTATCGAATCTTTTTCGTAAACAAGTTAAATTTGCTTTCATCGCTCCATAAAACTGTATTCCATTGTTGTTCTGTCCAAGTTATATGAGTTTTAGCAAATTCAATCCGAGCACTACGATTTTTTTTAAATGAGAGGCTTTTGCACTGGACGCCTAAAAAAAAGTTCAAAATCCGCCAAGCGTTTCTGCACTGTTCTGACAGAAAGATTCTCGGCACCCTCTTCTACGAATCTTTTGAAAATCTGTGTGGCTGGCATTTGAGGATCTTCATGGGTCAAACGTTTAATGTAGCGATCCAAAACATAATCGGTTTTTTTCGGTCTTGTTGTTGATTCGTATTTTTGATATTTACCAATAATTTTCGAAATCGTCCCTTTGTCCATTTTCAATCTTTGAGAAATGTCAACATTTGTGACACCCTTTCTAAATAATTCAATTACTTTGTCTCTTAAATCTTTTGAAAACTCTTTTACTTTAACGCAATATCAGAGTATCGCAGAACAATCAAATACGGCAAAACTGGAATTTTTCCGTTTGTCGTTACAAAAACTGTGGTATTTAAAAATCGCTTTGAATTTGAATATTGATAACATAGACTTTAATGTTTATATTATCTGTTCATTCACAATTTTAATTTAGGTATATGAAATAGTTCATAAAAATGTTGTTTCCAAACTTTTGTCCGCTTCTTTTTGGAAGATTTCATTTTCCAAATATTTTTTGTTTGTCCACTTCATCGATTCTTCGCCGACGCCCATTTTCTCTCAAGTTGTTTGTTTACTAAACATATTTTTTTAACATTCCAGGTCCCATCGCCAAGACCTGGAAGATGCGAACCAGACAGCCGAGTACTTCCAGACAAAAACGTGAACTTCATAAAAACGCATCCTTTGATGGAACGCGCTGTCCCAGCGATGAATGGCAGACCGTTGCTCATAAGGGTCAGTCTACACTACCGTTTGACCGCCATTGCTGTCGATCCGCAAGTCAGGACGATCAGCGACGAAACTTTTGACGTGATATACGTAGGAACTGACGACGGTAGAGTGTTGAAGATCGTCAATATCCCTACGCATAATTCGTCCAAGGCCGTTGTCTTGTCAGAGAGTGAAGTATTTGGCAAGAACGCCCCTGTGAAGCAACTGAAAATTGCTCCTGGATACGGGAAGGTAGTTGCTGTCAGCAGAAATGAAGTCAAGCTGGTGACATTGAACCATTGCGGAACAATCACGCGTTGTAGGTAAGTACATTTCGTCCCAATTTTATCATCAAAATGCCAAATAGATACGGTCAGTAAAGAAACATCTTTCTGTCATCGATCACAGTTTGTAATGACAACTGTTACAGCCTTACTGTTAAAATGAAAATTCTTTCTCATGGAAAGGTAATTGTTTCACTGTTTCCAAGGAGAGATCAATTGTTTTCAAGAAAGCCACAAAGAAGATCTATAAGTGTGACCCTAATATACCCAAATATTCTTAACTTGTTAGAGGGGCGTTTTTTTTTCTTTTATACCGTAGCCAGGACACCGCGGCTGCTGTGAGGATCCCAAAGAAATTTTGTTGATCCAATTTTTGAACTGCCTAAGGTTAGTAGAACTGGGAAAAGCTTCCTCTTGTAGATTGTTCCACAATCTCGACACCCTCGGGACAAAGGAGTGGTCGTATTGGCCAGTTCTGGATGTACGAAGTTTGCCACGGTTATGATGGGAGGCCAAAGTCAGGCGGGTCTGTCTGGCAGGCACATTGCGCGACGTCATCATGGAAGAGAGCTCTGAGGAGCAAAGCCCGTTGGTGTAGCGGTAGAAGAGAGCTAGATCGCCGTCGGCCGTTGGTGCGAACAGGTCCCGAGACTGCCTGTTAGAGAAGAGTCATCGATCAGTCGGACACCCCTCCGCTGGACAGCATCGAGCGTAAATAATGTAGTCGGGGCGGCAGCACCCCAAACGTGTGAGGAATACTCGAGGCTAGGCCTTATCTGGGCCTTGTGAAGAGTGAGAAGGTCATGCGGAGAAAAATACTTCTTAGCACTAAACAAATAGCCTAGCTTTTTCCCAGCAGCTGCCGTTATTGACGAGATGTGTTCGTGCCAGTTCAAGTCCTAGGCGATCTGGACCCCGACCAGCCGAAATGAACGGCTGTTTGGCAGAACTAGACCATCCATCGAAACCGGATAAGCGCTAGGACGCTTTTTGTTCGTCAAGGTACAGTACTGTGTTTTGGAAGCATTGAACTGTACAAGATTGTTGCTTTCCCAAGCAGTGATAGCCTCCAGGTCTCTCGTCAGAGAGGAAGTCGTCGCTAGTCTTCGTTTTTCCAGCTCAGCGGCAGAGATCGGCTTGTCACTCTGTATTCCTGCATGTAGAGTGCAGTCATCATCGAAGCTGTGGATTGGGTTGATCCTGCAGGAAAGGAGGTCGTTGATATGTTGTGGGATGAAGAGGAGACCTTGCGGGCCAGAGAGAAAAGCAGCAACCCATCTGCAAAGCTTTTCTGGTAGGCCATAGGATGGAAGTTTGCATAAGAGGGCTGCGTGCCACAGCTGATCGAACGCTTTCGTAATATCGAGAGCAACGACATGAGCCTTACCATAAGACTGGATGATACTGCCTGTCGCTAATCAAGCCGTGACGTTCAAGGTAGTCCAGAAGCTCGCGATTTATGCACCTCTCCATCACCTTACTTATAACAGGAAGCAGAGCTATAGGCCTACAGTTGTAAGGGTCGGTCTTAGATCCTTTCTTTGGGATGGTTTGGGCATGAGCAAAATTTATAGTTTTCTGGGAAGGTGCCGGATCCATGAGATATCTGGACCAGAAGCTTTGATGATGTCGAGCGACAAGTGCACCCATCTTACCTTTGAACCGACGGTACTTGGGCGTTGGGGGGACGTCCATGGTGGAGTTGGCAGCAAAGATCTTGCCAAGCACTTCCGTCTTGGTCTTTAAGTCTGTTTCAATCGTTCCATCCTGCCACGTAAGTGGTGGAGGGCTACTTTGTGAGAAGTTCTTTTCAATCTGCTTGGTCAGAGTGCAAAAAGGCCGACTGTCATTGCGCTGCGACATTACCCTGTGTCTAACTTTTATATTGTGCTGGTTTTTGGCATTGTGAACCGCTTCGTTATATTTGTTCCGGGACTCGACGTCGGCTTGTCTGTTCTCTACAGTGGAGTTCTTTAAGAAGGTTCTGTGTGCCTTGACCTTCTGCTGGCGAGGAGAGTCACACGATTTGTTAAACCAGTCGTTGGACCCTGGTTTAAGCACTTTCACTGTATGAGGAATGTATTCTTTCATTCTGATGTGGATAATTGTTATCGAAGAACAGACAGCCGACGCGTCCGCGTCAGCAAAACAAACATCTCTTCAAGGAAAGGTCTCTCAGTCCCTCCCAGTCGGCATGACCATGATGCCATATTTTGCGGCCTGCGCGAGTTTCTGCTGCCACAGCGGGTTCTGACCGAAACCTAACCTACACAAAACCGTGGTCTGAGTTACCCAGGGGGAACAGGACATCAGTGCTGTAAGGGACAGGATGCATGGTCAGAAAAAGATTCAGCAGGCTACTGGCAAGTGACGAGACGCGGGGAAAAGTAGGGCTCGTCACCAGATGCGTCAGCCTTTGAATAAGAGCTTGTTTGAGCCCAAGCAAAGCTCATTACGGGCATTAAAATTACCGAGGAGAACTACGTCTGAAGCGGGTTGATTGATGTTCAGTAAGTCAATCTTGACGGTGAGGTATTCAAGTAGGTCATACCAGTTATGGTCCGAGGGAGAGCGATAAAGGCAACAAATAAATCTGTGCTATGTTTTGGAGTAGAGGCGTGGTCTGATTCCAACGAAACATGTCTGGAGCAGAAAAGACTACAGCGGACAAAAGCTACAACTCCCCCGTTCTTTCTCAGATTGGAGTGCACCTGTAATTTGGGAAGCTAAGATGGTTTAGTTTATAAGACAGCCTGGGAAAAGCTAGCAGGTGGTACCGCCTCGGTCGACTGGTCCTTGCTAACGCCTTCTTTTTGCGTGTTAATGATGTTAATTAGACCTAAAGTGGCCCGTTGGTGGACTTGTACCGCCACCCCGCAATCGGTACTGAGGTATTCCTTAACACGTGTACAATCACTTGAACGGGAAGAAGTTGTACACTGGATAGAAAAACTTCCGGAACAAGCATTTTAAACGGCCCCGCTCAGTAGGGTAAGATCAGGACATATATCTCCAGAAGACAATATTGGTCTCTAGTTTTAATGGTTGCTGTTGATACAAGCAATTATTGTATCGCGTGCATTTTTTGTTCATTGATTATTTGTAAATGCTAAATAGATACGGTCAGCAAAGAAAAATCTTTCTGTCGTCGATGACAGTTTGTGACGACAACCTACTGTGAAAATGAAAATTTAAATCTTCCATTGAATGTTCCTCAAGGAAGGGTAATTGTTTCAATGTTTCGAAGGAGAGATCAATTGTTTTCAAGGAAGATTCATAAATCTGACTCTAATTCGCCAAAAAATATTCTTGACTTGTTTGTGGGGCATATAACTCGAGAAGGCAGTCTTGATCTCTAGATGTAATGGCTGCTGTTACTGTATCTCGTGCATTTTTTGTTCATTGATTATTTGTAAATGTTTTTGTTCCAGTGAATGTTTGGAGTTACGTGATCCACATTGCGCATGGGACTCTCTGAAGGGGGCATGTGTTAGTGTCGATGCTGTAACATCATTTCGATATCACATACAAGATGTCCGGAGAGGAAATGCTTCAAAATGTCGACTGCAGCCTCTTGGTAAGTAAAATGTGCATATTGGCTTATTTGATGATCAGTTGCTCTTTCGTGTGTAATGTCTTATTTTTTTAAGTACAAAAAGCGCTTACCTCCTTTAATTGATACATCATTATTGTTCTATTTTTCTACATAATTGTCATTCCGGCATTTTTATAGAAGCTGTAACAGTTTTTGTATGCCCATGTCATACGCTGACAAGTCCTCGTTTCTCACTTCGTCATCGGGACTGAATCTCTTTTCGGTTGTTCTTTTGGAAGCAAGTGGTGAAAAAAGCTCACCCGCGCAATTTGGAACTGACAGCTCTTCTCCGGTCAATCCTCTGGTTGTTGCTCGTCGCCCATTAAACGGTTGCTCTCCTACTAAAGTTTGAATGCGAAAATCATCACCTATCTATCCACCCTACAGACAGGACTTGGCAGCCAGTGATTGCCACCGGTTTCTTAGCACATTTGCCGTAACCCTGTCGAACTGCGTACATCCAGAGCTGGCCGATACGACCGCTCCTTTGTCTCCAGGGTATCGAGATTGTGGAACAATCTACATGATGAGGCTTTTCCCAGTTCTACTAACCTTAGGCCGCGGTGACGTGGCTTCTGACTGCACTGCTGCTTCGATGTAAAAACAAATACAGTAGACCCCCGATAATCCGGCCCCTGTCTAATCCGGCGCCCCCTGTAATCCGACATGTCTTTGAATATTACATACATACGTATTTGACAATCTTTGCTTATGTAGATCACGCAGGTTTGAACAGGTTACAACTTGTACGCGCCACCGCTATCGTGCTCGACGCGTAAGCATTGTTTTACATAGTTTGAGTATGACTACTTGTGATAGCGGTACGGCCTAGCGTGCGTTTATTGTTTACTATTTATTCATTGTGTATTAAGTATAGTACCTAGTAATGTCATCACAAACTCAGAAGCGAAAGCACAAAACATTGACAATTAAAGAAAAATGTGATATTTTAGATCGCTTAAATCGCAATGAAACTTTCAGTAGTTCGTAGTAGTTTACATATGTATGTGCATTTATGCTTAATTTTTCTACTGTTATTTAATTTACTAAATTCGACATACATAAACTATGTATGATTTGTACTTCAAAGTACATACATATATATAACATATATAATCTTACCATTGGATATGTAATTTGTCGGATTACAAGGTGCTCTTTTGTAAAAAATTCCGGACTATAGGGGGTCTTAGGCAGTGCTCTATAATCCGACAAATTCGATAGTCCGACACTGCCCTGCATAATGTTTGTCGGATTACCGGAGGTCCACTGTTTTCCGTTTTAACGGCGATGTAAAATATGAGGTTTATTGCTTCCACCTGGACCTGGTGGCGAGCTGGTGTTACATGGACACGTAAAAACTGCGATAGCATGTACAAAAATTCATCGAACGGAATGGCGAGTATGCAGAAAAATATATACCAATTATTGAAAATGCATTTTATTTTTTTCAGATGCTCCGTCGCCAAAAGAGTACGACATCAAATCTTTGGACACGAACTCAGTAGACGAAGACGAAAAAGAGCCAAGCGACGATTTACTCCGCTTGGACGCGGATTCGACTGAGTGCAGTAATGACATAGACGGGGCAACAACAGGATGTGCATCGCAGAGCAAGTTGACTTTGTACACGCCGGAATATTTGAGGATATTCGTTGCGGTTTCCAGTCTTGTGGGGCTGTTCATTGGGTTTCTTTGTGGGTATCTGGTGTCCCGGCGATTTCACACCCATCCGCAGTACCCTAATCAGGCGTTTATTGAACAGCACAACCATCTAGATCGGTAAGTCTCATTTGCGCGCGAGACAACGGTTCAGCAGACTATGACATTGACATTGTTCACTTTTTTTATTCTACAGGGTGGCCCAACGAAAAGGTCGCACCCCCATTTCTGACTCTCCTGATATACACTGCCACACAAAATTAACCGGACCAATAATAATTTTGTTCTTGCAAAACGATTGAAAATGATTGTTGTTATACAGCGTGTAACTAAAAGGTGCATTTGCCCTAAATTTCTGAACATCCTGTGGAAACATTGGGTTACTGAGTAATGTGTCTTCGTATGACAATTTTAAGCCGCCAACTTTTCTCAACTTCTTTTTTTGATCCATGTCAATATCTCAATTATTGAAGAATATATGTTGTTTGGAAGAAAATCATGGGAATCATAGCCATAAACAAGAAATTGTTTCAAGCAGGCTTTGCCGGGTAAGAAATTGTTTCAAGTAGCATTTTTATGGCATGTCAAAAAGATTCTTATCAAGAAATACTCAAAAAATGTCATATTCGGTATATCGCAGAAAGGCTCGCCGTTCCACGCAGTACGGTATTCGATGTGATACAAAGTTCAGAGAAACTGGTTCTTACTCAAGAAGACCTGGGCAGGGAAGACGGAAAACAACAAACGCAGTTGTAGATTGGTTTCTGAGACTTCATACTCTTCGAGAAAGGACAGTTCCTGCTACTGCTTTGACTCGAAGATCGGATGGTAGCATAGTTTCACCTGATACCGTACGCCGAAGGTTGAGAAAAGGAAACCTATCATCTTGTGTACCTGCTACAGGTCCTCTATTGGATGTACGTCATCGAAGGCAGCGCTTGGTATTTTCTCGAACTCGTGTAGATTGGGATATGGACGACTGGAAAAACGTTCTTTTTACGATAGTCACCTGATGGTCGCCAAAGAATGTAGAGAAGGCGTGGAGAATGCTATGCTCAAAAATGTTTCGCTCCTAGAGTGCAATTTGCTGGTGGAGGAGTGATGGTATGGGGCGGTACTTCTTTGGAATCCCGAACAGATCTTGTTTCGCTACGAGGAGGACACCTTACTGCCGACATCTACATAAGAGAGTGCTTGGAAAAACATGTAGTTCCTCATATGCCCTTTATAGTTGAAAATTTTCTCCTAATGCAAGATAATGCTCGGCCGCATATAGCTAGAATGAGTAGGAATGTTGGAATTCAAGTACTAGAATGGCCGCCAAGTATTCCGGATCTCAACCCCATTGAGCACATGTGGGATACATTAGGGAGAAGGCTTAGGCAGAACTATGCAGATTTTCAAACTGTGGCTGCGTTGAAACAGGCGCTGGTAAACGAGTGGGAGCAAATAATCCAAGACACAATAGATGGTTTAATTGAGTGTATGCCAGAGAGGATGTTATTCAAGCCCGGGGAGGAAATACTGTAATTTTTTAAATTAAATTGTTTATGGCTATGATTCGCATGACTTTCTCCAAAACAGCATATATTCATCAATAAATGAGATATTGACATGAATCAAAAAAAGAACTGTTAAAATTCTCATACGAAGATACATTATTCAGTAATCCAATGTTTCCACAGGGTGTTCAGAAATTTAGATGCAAAGGTTAAAAAGTTATTTCAGATTTATTTTCAACAACATTTTGTTTGTCCTAGGGGGACGTAATTTCTTCTATAGCCGTACAATACGGGGTGATCCAAAAATAAGATATTAGGTTAGGCTTTATACTTTTAAATGGAAACCCCATTGTTTAATTTTTAGATATTCCATGAAGTTTTTAGTAACTTTTGTATAATAAAGTTTATACCGATCTTCAGTCATTGTGAAGCTATTTGAGTTTATAATACAATTCCACTGGATACTGATAATAATGAAATGCGCGGCAAAAAAAATAACAATCATGGATATCAGCAAGAACATTTAGCATCAGTCAGTGATATTTTATTTCGTAGAAAAACTTTATCTTTCCATTTCAAATTGTTAATTTACCTGCCTAGTTGTGATAAATATTTAACAATGACTTATTCTATTCAAGAAACGGTAGAAATTACAAAACTGTATTACCAAAATGGAAGCATTGCAAGAGCTACTGCCTGGTTGTTTAATGCGTTACATCCAGACAAAAATATTGACGATAAGTATGTGGCTAGTCGGTAAGACAAATTTGAAGAAACTGGATCTGTGTCCGATATTCGCCGTAATCGCCATCGAGAAAGTCGGATCAGTTAGAAATGAAACCGCAGAAATAGCAGTTTTGGGACACGTAGCGCTTGACAACATCCAAAGCACTCGTGGACTGGCTACTTCTTCAGGATTTACACGCTCTATAGTTCAAAGATGTTTGAAAGACAATAAATTTCACTCGTACAAGATAAAACTTGTCCATGAGCTTTCTGAAGACAATTTTGATAGAAGGTTGGAGCTTTGCGAATTAATGTCCCAACGTTTAATCAACAATTTTTTTTTATACTCCAACTACTACGAAGGCCTAAGGCCTAAACACCCATTGGGTACAGTGGGGCTATAGGGGGATACAGGGGAAAGGGGGGACGCCACACGGACTCTGGCGAGGGAACACGTGTGCATGCAACATGCACACATTCTGGCTCCGCCTACGAGATCCGCCGGGTGGTACCTCCGCGTTCGACAGTCAGAGACCGTCTACCACCTACGGACAATCACAACATCCATAGCCAAGAGAAAAATTTCTCCTGGGACGGGACTCGAACCCGCACAGCGCACGGCGACTGATCAGGAGACCGAAGAGTCTACTACTGCGGCCACCGCTGCTGCCTAAAATTCACATATGTTATTTAATATTTACATGGTGCTGTGAATCCACATTTGTTTCAAGAGGTACATTCGCAGTATCCTGAAAAAATAAATGGTCGGCCGGTATTTTCGGAAATCATATTGTAGGGTCATTATTCCTGGAAACTTGACGGGCGAGACATACTTGCACATGTGATGTGAATATGCAATAGAGCCACGAATTACCGAAATAACATAAAATGAAGTTAATTATAATGAAAATTACATTAATTTACAACAAGATGGTGCCCTGCTGCACTATGTGGCTCCAGTACGACAGTTTTTGGACATTTCCCGAATCAATTGATCGGCGGACGAGGCCACATCGAGTGATCGCCGAGATATCCGGACCTAAGTCCTTTAGATTACTTTCTTTGGGGGCACCTGAAAAGTAAAGTTTTTAGTACGAAGCCAGATTCCATCCAAGATCTTTGTCAGCGGATTACGAATGAATGTAGACAAATAACTCAAGACATGCCTGAAAATGTGAGGAACGGGTTCGAAGAAAATCTTTATTAATGCATGGAGGTAAATGGACACTACTTTTAGCACTTATTACCACTCTGATTATAGTAAATTAATTTTTACTTCAATGTGTGCGTAAACTGAAATTGTTTTTTATTTTTTTAATACTCTGGGACTTGTTTTTAATGTTTAAGTTAAAGTCTTGTTACTATGGGAACATAATTTCCAGAATTTTATCATAAACTCAAATAGGTTCACAACGATTGAAGGTATAAACTTCATACAAAAGTTACTAAAAACTTCATGGACAATATAAAAATTAAAAAAAATGGGAATTTCCATTTAAAAATCTTAAGTGTATTTTTTATTGTATTATGTGTATTGTACGGCTATAGATGAAAGGAAATCGCCTTAGAAATCAAAATTGACGTGTCCTAGCGTTTTTCCCAAAAAATTTACCAGGAGAGTCACAAATAGGGCTGCGACCTTTTCGTTGGGCCACCCTGTATGTGTGTACATCTGACTCAATATTGGGGAATGACCCATATTTGTAGTCTATCCTGGAGGTTGGAACAAGGAACCTTGATGAGTTACCCTCAAGTGGAGATTTTAACATTCCATCTCACTGTAACAGGTTTTTCAAAATGTTTAATTTTCTCTATTCAAAATGATCAATCTTCTATATTTTCAAAATTTTGAATACCTCAAACATTTTGAATGGATTTTTGTATGGATATCTGAATAGTAACAAAACAAGCTCCTCATTATTTCCACTCACTTTTTTATTGAAATCTGTAACACATACTTTAGAGCAGGGCTGTCCAACTTAATGTGGCCCAAGGGCCACTTCAAAAAAAAATGCAGTTTGGAGGGCCGCATTATAAAATCTTTCTATACAACATTATTACTGAGTTTTAATAGGTATATGCATATTCGGTATTTGAGAGTAATTTATGCTTGTGATGTATACATGACCTGTGAAGCGGTCCGCAAGAAAGGAGTTCGCGGGCCGTATGTTGGACAGCCCTGCTTTGGAGAAATTTTTGGATGATTGCAGGGGATTATTATGGCTAGTTATGTTTTTATATTTCCTAGAGATTGGCGAATTTCTGTTCAACATTTTACAAACCTTTAGCTACAGATTTTCAGAAATACACGGATAACAATGAAACATTGGAATCTGACTTTGTAGATACATGTTTTGTGCTTGTAAGATGGAATCCTCACTTGGCCATTCCGAGGAATCTCTTTCCTCAGTTGCAAACGGAAAACTACTATAAAATATATTGTCGTTGCCATTTTTGTTTCTTGTCTTTTTAACTGTGAAAAAGGCCACCGAGTTAGCTGAAACGTCAGTAAACAGACATCTTCGATTTAATTTAACAGCCAGAAAAACATAGAAAATCAGCGCTCTGATGAGTTTCAGATGTTATGTTATTTATGCCTTTTTGCGTGCACTTGACTCATAGTTGATTTTTTTGTAATTAGGCTGCTGTATTGCCTGGCTAGTTGTACATCATCCAAACTTGGTGGATGTCGAGATGACTTTTCCACACATGAATTTATCAAAAGTCCGAATCCAACAGGTAAATTCCTGCTTAAAGGATGCCTTGCTATCATCTGTGCATTGCTTACTTAGCCAGGTGTTGTGAATTTGTCGTTCTTTACAGGATAAAATGTCAGTCTGTGATTTTTTGTACTTTGTGTATACTAACAAAAATTTTCTGTCGGTAAATGTATCTTTCCCATCATAACACATTACTTGTTGGCGAAAAACCTATGCCATTTCACTTCGGTTTGTCGAGTTTTTATACCCCCCACATAAAAAATTATAAAACGTTGTCGTCTGTAATGTTTCACAATCAGAACTAGTGGTCAGTGTGTCTGTCTTTGTGTTGGGTTTCAAATAAATGTTTCATGATATACACTACTTTTGAAGTTCTCTCGTACTTTTCCTAGTTAAATTTTTTCTCTGAAAGTATACTATTATTTACAGTACAGTAGAGCCCCGATTATCCGAGATAATGTGGACCCAAGTGCTTTCGGATAATCGAAATTACGGATAAAACGGAAATAAATATTTAGACTCATAATGATTTTCTTGAAAAAAGTAAATTCGTGTGTTAAGTGAGTAGATACCTATATTAAGTTACGTAAAATATAAACATGTGGATACAAAAATACATATTTATGAGTACCTATTTAGTACCATAGGAAGTAATTTTTAACTATACACGTTTTGCATTGTTCCTATTTTTGGCAGCAATATCCCTCCAACGTTTGATGAGTAGCACATCAGCTGCTGTCGCATTTTCATGTTGTTCGACGTAAGTCAACGCGTTTTTTAGGGCTTCTAATGCCTCAGAATGTGATATTTTTGCAGAGATTTCTGTCTCATTGCCACTAGCATCACTTAAAACTGTCTCATCGCCATTGTTAGAAACAGTTCTTATTAGCAAGCATTTTTTGATTTTTATACCACACTGGAAGAGCGTTGGGACGGACGTGTTTATATGCTCTTGGTTTAGCTGATTTTCCGGTTAACAACAAAGGAAGTTTGTGTGTACCGGAAGCATTGCTACAAGCAAGGATAGTCACACGTTCTTTACTGCGTTTGTAACCAGGAGCTCCAGATTCTTGTTTTGAAGCTAAACTTTTCGCCGGTAACATTTTATAGCTTAGGCCCGTTTTGTCACAGTTGTAAATTTGTTTTGGATTTATTCCATACTGCTTCAGTAATTTTTTAATGCAGCGGACTTATCGGCAGATAACTTTTCTGCGCAAACCTTTGATTCTCGTATACCGTGTCGTTTTTTCAATCTATGCAGCCAACCATCACTGGTTGTAAAGTGATCAGGCGCCTCAATAACTGGCAATTCTTCGCTTAAGTTGACTCCGTTTTGCTTTAGAATTGGTCCGGAAATTGGTGTACCACGTTCTCGATTCTGTGTGAACCACAGATATAAAGCATTATCCACTTTTTGATATTCCCCCTTTTTCGTAGTTTTCCGCCACGGCTGCGATGATGTCAGAACACTAGACCAGTTTTCAATTTTCTCGCGTTGTTTTCTCCATTTCTCCATATCCAAATCACTTGCCACGTTTTTAAGCGAATCACCTCTATCTAAACGTCTGATTGCCTCAAATTTCTGTTCTATGGTAATAACAACGCGTTTACGTTTATTTCTATGCTGATCCATCTTAGCGATTATGAACCTGACTGAAACAAACATACACGCACACATACCAGTGAATTCCGCAAACGCTCCTGGGGAATGACCGGCAGCGAATCTAATGACGCAAACGCCGAAAGGGGAACTACCGGCGGCTATTTCGGATCATGCGCCGCTTTCCTGAACAACTTTGATTAAAACGGAGGAATTATTGTATGCGATCTGTTTCGGATAAGGCGGATTTCGGATAATCGCGATTCGGATAACCGGGGTTCTACTGTACATATTCCTTGCATTATTTTACCATCATATACACAATTGCCAAAAAATAGCACATTTCATTGTACATATTACATATCCAGCCCTTTTCAACAAAAAATACCAGACTTAGAGGCGCAACTATGAAGAAAAGTATTAACTAGTCACTAGTGCATAAAAATGGATATTGAAAGCGATTATTTCAGAATCAGTTCTTTTAAGCACTATATTACGAGTATATGGTCAATTCTGTCGGTAATGACCTCTTGTAAAACCTACTCAAATATCATGCACGACTTTCCCTGCAATAGGGAAACCAAGTTTTGTTTTTGAGTTTTTGCCAAAACGGCGTACTAACATTCGTTTATTTTTTCCAGACTCACTGTGAATCAGAATAGTTTTTTAGCCCCGCGAAACAAGACGGTGAATCTTGACGTCCTGAACGTTTCGACGGATTCTCTGCCACCAAAAAAGGACAACCTTGGCTCTTTGAAGAATTTGAACATAACAAATGAAGGTACACTGCAGAAGATCAAGAAAACTTATATCTGAATGCGTTTCGCGAGATTCCAGTATTTGCAGTAAGAACTCTCAGATTATAACTTTTTTCTCGAATATCTCTATTTGCACGGTCATCAAGTCAGATTCAGGAAGTTTTTCACGGAAGCACTTCAATCCAGGACAGAGCTCTGAATAGAGTTTACTCTCTCCGAATCAAGTGTCCCTAAGGAATTTAATACAGATTCGTTCTACGAATATTATTATGAGAAACAATAATATTTGGTGAACCAAATCTGTTCAACTTTCGTCTTCATCAAGCTCCAAATCTGGCATCAGGTATGATGTGGCCAAAGAATACAGAGGAACCATTTGAATGTGCACTCGCGAAAATTCCTTTGATCTTATGGCATTGGGACAAGATTTCCCTCCTTTGTTTTGCATCCATTGACGCAGCACCAACTGCCACCAATCTACTCCCTGGGTAGTTATAGTACAAGTATCTTCGCATCTGCCTAGAAAAATATTTTGATTGTTTTTTCGCATAAGTTCATTCAAAAAAGACCCCTTTTAATGAACCTGCACGTTGCCAGTTCTTCTTTTGACAACTCTGTATTCTTTGGATGTGACAAACATAAAAAATCTTGCTTTTTTTACCTATTTGGATGATGTGAAACATTTTTCACAACCCCAAGAAACTGTTCGGTTTTTATGTGGATGTAGATGAAATAATTTGAAGATGAATAAAGTTGTGTCAATTCCGTTGGACTCCCCGATGTTGTGATATGTACGCACCCAAGAAACTCGAGTTTTAACTTGATGAACGTGCAACATAAAATATTTTCATACAGAAAGACCTAATGCGTATGTCTTTTGATGAATATTTTTGTACCTGCTATATAATTATAGACTGCCTTTATGCTATTCTACCGAGTTGATAGAAGAATGTTATTCAGAAGCTACCCCTGTTGGCTTTAATTTTTCTTTCTCAAGCTCAATGTAATATTTTTATAATAGCTCACGGTTTTATTTTGATATACTGATCTTTGAATGTGAGAGCACACTTTTGCTATAAAACGATAAAACGTTAACCATTTGATGTATCTTATGTACAGGGTGGGGCAGAAAGACTTTCCCGATTTGGACAGCCGATAAAAACTGAACTAATCAAGATATAGAAAAAAAACTTATTTTTTTATAGGCATTTATAGTGCCATTTTAAGTCAATGCGTCTTGAAAATGATATCACTCAAGTCCATTGTTGAGTGAGTGAGCCTCTTCCGATAATTTTCCATCGCTCTGCAGATCATGTCAGGCGGAATGGCAGCAGTTTCCTGGATTGTTTTCTCCTTGAGAGCGTCTAGAGTTTGAGGGCGATGTTGGTACACTTGTTCCTTTAGGTAGCCCCAAAAAAAATCACATGAGGTCAAATGCGGTGAGTACGGAGGCCACCCGATGTCGCAGCGCAAAGAATAAAGATGTGTCCAGGAAACATTTCTCGCAGAAGTGCCATACATGTTCTTGTCCATGCTCATTGACAAAAGCAGCCACTCCGGGCCGTATAAAGCTCTCTAGCATCACATAACATCGATCTGCGTTCACTCTAACAGTTCCATTCAACAACATATGGACTCCCACACACCAGATTTAGAAATGGCACACCAGACTGCAACCTTAGGTCTATAAAGTGGCCACTCGTGCAGTTCTCAAGGGTTATTTTCAGACCAATACCTGCAGTTTTGTTTGTTGACTTCGCCAGAAAGCTGGAAATGGGCAACACCACTGAAGATCAAAACGTCCATGCGAGGAATATTGCGATATTGGCACAAAATGGTACGGGTTTCACGGTCTTTTTCACGCAACTCCTATGCAATGGCAATTTTATAGGGATGCATATCAAGATCCCGGTGTAGGATTCTCCGAACACTCCGATTTGATAATCGCAAAGCAGTGCTTACGTGCAGAGCTGCTGAATTGACTCTCTCACAGCTGCCACATTTGCTGGCCCTGTTGCTGTTCGAGGTCGACCAGGAGATTTTCTTTTTAATGCCGATCCTGCTTCTAGAAAGTTCGACACCCATTTAACAATTGTCTTACTATCGGGAACCAGACCATGTCGCCCGAGCTGGAAGTGAATGCCATTATCGGCGAACCTCCATTTCGAATAAACCAAGCCATGGCTGACACTAAAAAAGTGGAATAGACGAGATATATACTCTTCTGCGCTGTACCCCCTACTGGCGTAGCTAGACGGTTTCCAAATCGGGGAGGTCTTTCTGCCCCACCCGTAGAATGATTCATTTTGCAGTAATTGTTACATCTGCAAGCGCTTTTAATGGCTCATACTTTGTTTCTACAGGAGTGTGCTCTCAATTTGGTGATCAATTTACGTTTTACTTACGTTTTAGTACTACTTATACGGAATCAAAAATGAATTTGCTTTAGCAGCTAATTTTGCAATAGAGAAAGAAAATAATGTGTAATTATTGTTTTAAGTGTTTATGTGATAAGTAGCTATACACGAGGCGGAACGACACAGTCTCTCGATTGAACTTTTATAAAAAAGATAAAATTTATAAATGTTGAGAACCAATGAGTTATAACCGATGGGTTCTAACTCATTATATTATATAAAAAGGCCAAGATTGAATCTTCCACAAATGTGAATTTAGTAACAAACACAGTCTTTAACAAAAGAGTAGTTATACAGTGTCCGGCACAAAGGTCGGACGGTTTTTAAAAAATCACAGAATCGGTAATTTGTAGTCGAAAACAAATTTATTGACGGATTCGGGTTCACAATGAAACAGCGTTTGTAATTAATTGTGGAAAATCACATCAGTCATGTGGTGGCCGTTTTTGAAGATGCATTGCTGGAGGCGTTCTTAAAAGTTCGCGTAGACTCTCTCCAACATCGTTCTCTCAACTTGGGCGCCTTCCACGCGAATTGCCTCCTTCAACTCGTTCAGAGTTCGGATCTTGTGTTTGTATACACGAGCCTTGAGGTGGCCCCATAGGAAAAAATCGCATATGGATAAATCTGAGGACCGAGAAGGCCAATTAACATCACCGCGAAACCTCGAAATAAGGCGACCACTAATGAGAAGGCAAATAACGTTCATAGTAGCTCTGGTGGTGTGGGCGGTCGCCCCATCCTGTTGGAATCACACATGTCGCAATGGAACCGCCTTCGAAGTAGATTTTCATTAGCCCAATAATGGCAATTCTGCTGGTTAACCATGCCATTAAGATGAAAGTGAGTTTCATAACTCATGAACAAAATGAGGTTCTCAAGTTCATGCATGCATAGTCTCCAGGCTGCAACTGTTGCACAATGGCAAATTTGTAGTTGTGAAAGTGGACTTCCATATGCAAAATACGCCTAACCGAACGATCACTGAGGCGAACTTCAGCAGCAGGTGGCCGAGCAGATCGAACCGGGCTTGTCCAACGCGTTCCACATTATCAGGGGTTCGAACCGTTCGCGGAGCTCCTGGTCTTTTGTTGATCAGTACACCACGTGTGCGAACCACCAACGAAGGATGGTGTTTCGATAAGGAACAGCTCGATTCCGATGAATATTAAAGTGGCGACGAAACTCTCGCTGTACAGCCGTGATAGACTGATTATGGCCGTCCATTGCTCCATAATGTCTACTGGCAAAAATGCTAGCAACGTCCGAGTCGAACGGCACTCTCCCCACTACTCTCGCCCAAATAGGCGGAGAGTGCTAGCCATTTCAAAAATATCCGTTCTTTATGCGGGACCCTGTATAAAGAGAATAAAGAGTATAATACTTTTCTATAAAACGTACTATGAAGCAACCGTAAAGGAGTCGAAATGTGTTTTGTTATAAGTTGCGTGATATATTTAAATCTCACTAGAAAATTGTCCTTAGTCACTCATTTTCTACTCGTGTGTTGGCGTAAAATTGCGCAAAATGTTTATAGGATGATTAATATCTTGGTCTACAATTTTATAATACCCGTTTTACATCAATTTCTCCACCAATTTATTCAGATGATTTTCTTTCTTCAAGATCATCCTGCTTATGCTTATGCTTTTGCAGTGTTTTACATCAATGGACAAACTCGATTATCTGTCAGTATTCAGTGCTGCCAACCACACAACAAATTCATGCTAGAAACATGTTGAGCTTATATGTCTACTATGGTTTTGAGGCGAGTCTCATAAACAGAAACCTGAATGCAGTAGTTCTATACTTGAAATTTGTTCCAAATAATGGAAGGGAAAACAAGTTCTAATTTCGTGAAGAGATCCACGAATATCATGGATTTATTTGACGTCAAATTTCTGTTTGACATTTTTGAAATTTATCCGTGAATAAATCCACGGAAATACAATGTAAAACGGGTATAAGAAATTTTAAATGTAAATACTTTTTAGTCTTCGGTGATGTAAAGATTTTAATACGCATGTATTCAGTTTTTCGGATTACATAGAAATGCCAAAAATTGTAACAATTTTTAATATACATTAGGTTTCTAGGTTCTTTTTGTTATACGATTTGTACCATTTTAAGTTGTATACAGGATGTTTCACAATCCAGGCATGCAAAGAATAATAACCAACCTTATTGAAAATCCTGTTAGTCACTTCTTATGACGGTTCAGCATGAAAAAAAGTGAAAATGATTGTAAAATCTCTATCTCGGTAGTTTTTTTAGTGATCTGATCACGGTATACAGTCATTGATCAGCCAAAACATGAACTTTGCAACATCCTGTACATCATTAGTAGCTGAATAGTGTATCCAAAACTCGGATACTGAAAGATTGATGGATCTTTGGTACAACACTCAACCCCTTAATAGAGCTTTCATATAACATATGTTTTCATTATAAGTAGTCCTCATGATTGTACGATTAAGTATAACAGTTTGGTTAGCGCTCAATAGTAGTAATTGTACATAGTATTTCTTTTTTTAGTTTTTCACATTAATTTATGTTTGGCTGTGAATTTCTAAAAAAAATTATCAATCGGTTAAGGCACGATATCCTCTATAACCGACGAAATTATATAATGCTGACTTGTACAAAAAAAAAACTAAAATACTCTTCAATAAGCACTAGAGTTACTAAATGTCTATCTGTCTATTAATTTTTAATGTATTTAATATAGATGATGTTACATTCCATAGATTTGTATTATGATTAATGTAGTAAATAAATGAAAATCTAATTGTTTTGGGTTCTCATTTTTCACAATATACACCGATTTCCTAGTTAAAACGGCTCAAAATGATCCCCCACAAAGCTTCGAACACAAATCGTCGGGATATTTTATTAAGTTTCCTCCCCCTAGAGAAATTGAGTATTACTGAGCTAGGAACAGGAACACGGTTTCTTATGCGATCCCACCAGCACCACCCCGGTCCAGGTACCCTCGCTCTTTCCGACCCAGGTGGCGGCAGGTAGACTGGTCGCTCCTGCAACCTGTGTTCCTATCGGAAGCACCCCCCCCCCCGGCCCTCTACACTAATTTTGCTCTTAAGTTTCGCGTAAGAAAGGTATATGGATGAATATATTTTTTGTTCGGCTACTCTCCAATAGATGGCGCAGCATATCGGTAGCTACCACAAGGTCCACCGTTTTGAATGACTACCTTGAGCTGCTGAAATCCGTTCAGTAAGTCCCAGTGTATGTGAGGAGGAGGACGCTTTGCTTTTCAACAAAGCCAGATCAATACGTAATATTAGATATAATAAACTAACAAAACAATGTTTTCATCAAAAAATAGGGGATTTTTAACCCCCCTCACGGAAATTTAAGATCCTTGATCATTGAAGATTCGTCGTCATAGACCCGTCCCGATCCCCGACCATCCGCCCCTAAAGGATCTTTTTGACTAGTTAAATTTTGTGAGGTCTGTGATAGCACTTTACATAGCAGCGCCATCTATCGGATGGTAGCCCAACTAAACGATTTTTTTTGGTGGCGGCTACTATCCAATAGATGGCGCTGCATATCGGTAGCTACCACAAGGTCCACCGTTTTGAATGACTACATTGAGCTGCTGAAATCCGTTCAGTAATCCCCAATGCAAGCAAGGAGGAGGACGCTTTGTTTTTCAACAAAGCCAAATCTAATACGTAATATTAGAATATAATAAACTAATTCAATCAAAAAATGGGGGGATTTTAACCCCCCTCACGGAAATTTAAGATCCTTGATCATTGAAGTATTCGTTGCCATAGAAAATCCACCCAAACCCCGACCAACCGCCCCTAAAGGATCTTTTTGACTAGTTAAATTTTGTGCGGTCTGTGATAACACTTTAGAAAGAAGCGCCATCTATGGGATGGTAGCCCAACTGAACGAATTTTTTTGGTGGCGGCTACTCTCCAATAGATGGCGCTGCATATCGGTAGCTACCACAATGTCCACCGTTTTGAATGACTACTTGTGCTGCTGAAATCCGACCAGGAAACCTCAATGCATGGAAGGAGGAGGATGTTTTGTTTTTCAACAAAGCCAAATCTAATACGCAATATTAGAATATAATAAACTAATCAAAAGAAAATAATCTTTTTAATCAAAAAATGGGGGATCTTTGAATTAAAACGATTATTATTATTAAATATTGCAAAAATGATAAGTATAAATAAATGACCTAGGTCACCTGTGTCTTCCTGTTTTTGATGGCACACATCCAGTATGCTTTCCGGACAACAGGAAAAATAAACCACAATAGGTATGGTACGTTTATATTTATAAATAACACCGTCATTAATTATAATGAATATAACATACAGTAAATTTTAGAATATCTTTTAAATATAAACCTTTATATCCAGAATTACGTAACATAAAATAACAATAAAATCAGCACTTCAAAAATTTTGCTTTTCATCTTGACAAATGCTGATTTATAATGAAACTTTGATTGGAATGTCTATTGATAAAAATGCACTGCAATTTTCATATTCAAGGAGCAACACACCCAAAAAGTATTTGATTATGTCACTAATTACATTCAATGAAATGTAGAGGAAAGATCAATAAATAATTACAAATTATTCAGATATATTTGTGAAAGTTGATTCTAACATTTTGCCTAAAGCAGTTACGCATTACAGAATAATTTTAGTGTACTATCTTGCAATCAAATGATTGTCAAAACATGTCAATTGTCAATGTGCAGATAAATATAATTAGCACAATATTATGCAAACAAGACCTACAAATATCATTTTCAAATGAATGGTTAAATTTTGGAAACTTACACCCTGACAACCAAATAGCAAACATAGTAAACAAAAATTTGTGTAGATAATCTTGTTGTGTGTTGCCCTTATGTTAAAATCTAATAAAAGTCAATGATTCACCATTATTGCTAAGAATTTTTCAAGTGCTGACAACAATAATTACCAGATTGTTTACAGCATCAAATAAAATTGCAGCGACTATTGCAGATGCTTCATCAATTACAATCGGTTCAAATAAGATACATTCACAAAAATTGTTGAAATAAGATACATCCACAAAAATCAAAGTTCACGACCAAATACTCCAATAGTGCAAAGGATAAAGTGCGTGGTCTCATGATAAATGAATGAATTTCATTAAAACTTTCTGTAATTTCATCCGACGCTGTAATAACTTTAAGAAACAAATAAATTGAGAATTTATTAATGAAAATAGGGAATATTACGAAAGGGTGACTTATAGAGGTTAGCTCATTGATAGCTGTCCTAGTGCCAATAATCTTTCTACTGCAGCGTTGACGTCACCAAAAGTCTCTATCAGTGCTTGCAGATTGTGTTCTCTGTTTCTGAAGCCCATAGCAGCTAGCTGCTCTAATTGCGTTTGATAGCGCTGCTCTGGCGGCAAGGCACCTTGTTGTCCTAGATTCCCTAGACCTCCTAGACCTCCCAGACTACCCATGCTAGGCATGTTTCCCACATTGCCCATCACACGGGATAAGAACTGAAACATAGAGAAAGATCATTCTATCATTATACAATCAAATTCAGAATAGGCGCTTGACTCATCTAATTTCATAAAATAAATGGTGTATTTCTTACAGTATTTTCCTCAGGAAAACTTAAGGCCCAGAAGTCGAATGTCTTATAAACTATTTCCAAATATATACAGTAGCGGACAGAAGTTTGGAAACATTCTTCATAATTTTTAAAAAGTGTGCTAATTTTTTATTTATTATTAATGACTATTTTTTTCTCATATAATTTGCTTACAGTCTTAATAATACAAATGGCAATTTGTGTTTGCTTTGGTACTGCAGACTAGCAGTATATTATATAATTTTATGACCGAAAATGAGACGACAAAAGATTTAAAAAACAATGTTTAGCTAATATTTGGTAGCATTCAACAGTGCCTGACATATGCTGCTTATAGAAGACAATTGTTTTTACAGACGTCTGTTGGGATATTTTGCCAAATATTTTTCACATAATCAAATTAAACTTTCCTATTTTTTAAAGTTTTTCTTGTCAGTTGTCTTTTAACATGCTCCCAGATATTGTCTATAGGGTTTACGTCCAGGGATTGCGAAGGCCATGTAAGAACACTTACATTTTTTAATCTTAACCAGTACTTTTTGTCGAATCTTTTTCGTATTGGATGTCACATATGCCGTACTGTCAGATCTTAACAAGTTAAATTTGCTTAAGTCGCTTCGTAAAAGTGCATTCCATTGTTGTCCTGTCCAAGTTAGATGAGATTTAGCAAATTCAAGCCAAGCAATACGATTTTTTTTAAATGCGAGGCTTTTGCACTGGACGCCTACCAAAAAGCCCAAAATCCCCCAAGCGTCTCTGCACTGGTCTGACAGATAGATTCTTTGCACCTTCTTCTGAAAATCTGTGTAGCTGGCATTCGAGGATCTTCATGAGACAAACGTTTTATGTAGCGACCCAAAACATAATCGGCTTTTTCGGTCTTCCGCACCTGGGCCACGTTGCTGTTGATCCGTATTCTTGATATTTACTAATAATTGTAAATGTCCACATTTCTGACACCACTTCTAAATAATTCAATTACTTTGTTTCTTAAATCTATTAAAAATTCTTTTACTTTTACCATTCTGGCTGATATTAATATTTACTGCACGCAATATCAGGGTATCGCAGAACGAATAAATACAGCAAAATTGAAATGTTTCCATACCTTGGTCGTTACAAAAACTGTGGTAATTAAAAAAAACGCGCTTGTTTATTATCAGAGAATTTGAATATTGATAAGATAAACCTTGTGTTAGTACGGGAGTCAAAGGTAGAATTTAAAATTTATATTATCTGTTCCTTCACAATTTTAATTTAGGTATATGAAATAGTTCATAATAATTGTTTCCAAACTTTTGTCAGCTACTGTACTGTTTGATAAATAAATAACTACATGGATGGGTTGAAGAAACATCAGCTATAATTCTCAATATTTTTTTCTGGACAATAAACACGCCCATTGATTGAATTTCAGCACTGCTACTACAAATGAATCACCTCACAGAACATATAAACTTGATGGACAGTACAAATAATTTTTTAACGCACTTTTTTTTTTTAATTTCCTGTACAAATAAGTAATTTTACCTCAGCAAAGGCATCAGGATTTCCTCCAAGCCGCTGTCCTGGAGATGTAGTGATTGTACCATTTGTACTGCCTGTCGTATTGGTGGTAGTTGTGGAGCTAGTTGTATTGGTAGTTGCCGTAGTGCCTGTTCCAGTTGAAGGTGTTGTTCTTGGACCGCCCGGGGGTACAAAGGTGTTAATTAAATTAGGTGCTGTTTGTCGTAAGGTTTCTAGTCCCTAAAAAAAAAAAATTGTATCAAGTAGGTTGAATCTATACATCCTATGTCTTCGTTGGAGGTTTCCAAGAAAAGGGATGAGTCGATCGTTTCAAAAGGTGAAGTCGAATAGTGATTATAGGTAGGTATAGGTACATAGATGTACAAGGTCTGGAGCAAAGTAAACAGGAATTTTGAAAGATATTCGATACATTATCGGAAACGTCTTTCATTGATGCCCTGTCAAAATTTCATGATAATCGCGGATTTATCGCGCTCAAAGTGACAGTAAATTTTTAGCATCAGTCGAAAAATGAGCATCGAACAAAGAGCCAATATGAGGTTCTGTTTTAAACTTGGTAAAAGATTTACCGATTGTTTGTCTCGTAGCCGAGTCCACGAGTGGTTTACGCGGTTCAAAGAGGGTCGTGAGTCGCTGGAAGACGACGAACATGTTAGCTAGCCAAAATTTGTGTTTACGCCAGAAACCATCGAAAAAGTGCGTGAATTTATAAAAAATGATCCAAAATCTTCATTGAGATACATAGAAATGGAATTACATATCTCTAAAGATTCAATCCATTGCATTTTGACCAAGAATTTGGGCATGAGAAAGGTGTGTTCACATTTTGTTCCGCACAAGCTCACAGATGACCAAAAATTGAACATTGCGACTGGTGACGAAACGCGGTGTTCCAATCCGAAAAAAGCCGTTTGGTGTTATGAGTCATTTGATGTCGCGTATTCGCCGTGTTCGACCAGAGTATAGCAAAGAAGGAAGCTGGTGCTTGTTGCACGATAATGCACAATCTCAAAGGACAGCGGTATGCCAACGTAAAGGCCATCCAACGCGTAGACGGCCATGTTTGAGGGCAACCCCCATGAGTACTAACTCTGAAGGACACTATTTTGAATAAAATGACTACGATTTTCCGAAACAAAAAATGTTTGTTCATTTTTCCCTACAGAGCTTGTAGGGAAACTATGTGTGACATGTCAAACAGGTGCATAGTATCACTGACACTGATTAGCAGCTCCTCAATAATAGATCTTTAAACACTGTCTGAAAATGAGCAGGAATCTCTGAAACTTTGCAACACTATGTTTCAGCCTCCAGATCAATTTTCAAAATCGACGACTACATAAACGATGGAAGTATTAAACTGGCATCCGTGTCTGTTGTATATTATGCGTCATAAATACTGAGTCAATCTGCTTGACGTAGTAACAAATGAAAAGTTAGGCGAAATAGGTGGTACATTCAAGGATCATAAAATTCAGATAAATATATGTGTAGATATAAAGACAGTTAAGTCATCATTTACAAAAGCATCGCAGAATTAGTATGTTTCCAATGGAAAAGTTCACTTTTTGATTTAAGAAAAAAAAATACAAACTTAATGAAAAGAAAATATTTATAACTATCAACGTATTCGTAAATTCGGCGGGTTTTATTTCTCAAATATTATTCGGTCCAAATGTTTGCCATCCCTTCGGACACCCTCTTCTAATCGGGCGCGCAAATTATGGAACACTCTTGCAGAGTTCCGGAGTGATGTTTATTTCTCGTCGAATGTTGTCTTTAAGCCCGTCCAGTGTTCGTGGATTATTGGAGTACACTTTTTACTTTAGATAACCCCACAAAAAAAAACGCATGACGTAGGTGACGTAGGAGGCCAGTGAATGTCCCCAAATTTCGATATAACTTTTTGATGAAAAAGTGCTTTCACCGTGTCCATCGATTCTCTGGAAGCATGGGTAGTGGCCAAATCTTGTTGAAACCATGTGTTTCTGTTAAATCGACGTTCTGTTTTTACAATAGGAGCAAAAAAAGTGTTTTTTCTTCATTATGCCATGCAGTGTTGACCTAGGGATTCCCAAAGCAGCGGAATGCTTCCGTAGAGTACGCCGAGGATTTGCAATGACCGAATCACTTACTCGACCCACATTTTCTTCTGTTGATATAGTAGGTGTGGGGGCAGAAATGGGTTGACTTAGGGTAGAGCTTGTTTCACGGAACCTCTTAATTCGCTTTTTCAATAGGTTCTTACTTGGAGCATCTCTTGGTCGGCGAATGTTGTATCGTGTACAAAATTTCCGAAGGGCAGCTGCGTATAAATCATGACTTTTAAAGTAAGCCTCGATAGCAAAGACACGTTGCGCTCCGGTCCAACGTTCTATTGTGACTATTTAACCCGCACGCCTCTCCCCGCTTCCTCGCGTATACGATTGCCACGTAGTTCAAATTTGAGATGTGAACTTTCCCACTGGTATTTGTGTTATCAGGGACTGTCCTGATCAATGTTTGTAGTTCATTTTCTACCCGAATGGAGATGCTTTATTCTAATTTACCTGTTGTATTTGCAAAAGGGCATTCATTGCTTGTGGATCAGTCATTAAACTCGCTGTTTCAGGATTCTGTAACTGCTGGAGTATCTCTGGCATCATTGCACGAACATGTTCTTGCATTTCAGGGTTGCTGAAATAATATTACTGGTCAATAATGAAAGATTTTCCAAAGTGTTTTTATTCGTCTTTGGTGTGCTGATTGCGAAAATAACAAAGTTTTTTTAGTAGCTCAATTTCAAATTTACATGCAGAGTATAAACCATTATACACCCTTTCAAACAGCTGCTGCGATTGAGGAAAAAATGTCATTTGTAACATTTTTGAGGTGCCTATTTTAGAGCCTGATCCTTTTCGGGCTACATTCGGTCTTGGAAGCTACAGAGGACAGGGTCGCGACAATTTGAATCGATTTTAATAGTGACTCACTGCAAATTATAAATTGCTGTAAAAACAAGTCGCCGAAACAAATAACTGAAAGAACAGGAAATTCAAAAAATGGAAGATCGTCCATTTTCTATTAAAAAAAAGACTGACATTGGCGATATACACATCGGCCATTCTCTAGTTAATTTGCCACTCACCTATTCAACAATGGGTTATCAGCTATAAATCTATTGGCTAGATTGGGATCAGATGCTAGAGCCTCCATCATCGTTCGCGCTTGTGGAGTGGACATCATATTCTGTAATATGCTGGGGTTCTCTCCTAAAATGTTCATGAAGCTGGCCATGGGATTGGCCGCATTTGAGCTGGGGGTGGTGCCTGGTGTCCCACCACCTGGTGTAGTAGTGGCAGTAGTACTGCTTCTACCTGTGCCAGTATTGGATGTTGGCCTGCTGCCTCCGGACCAAGGATTGGGTAAAGGTTCTGTGTTCTCTCTGCCTTGCTGTGGGTTTGTAGCTGAGGTACTATCAGCCAAGCTAGCAAATGGATTCTGCACCAGAGAATCTGTTGCATTCAACATGGGTTCTAAAAAAACAAAAGTAGTTTACCCTACAATAACCATAACAGTAATCTGATATTTTTAAATGCACACATTTTACAATCTTTTCATATGCAGCAATATTTTTAACCCCAAAATTTTTTGTGACAGCTTATGGTTATTAAAAAGCTGAAAAAAATCGATAAACCTGTTTGGGAGTATTTAAAATTTTGCCTTAAACAAATTTTTTAACTACAAAAATTAACATTGAAAAACGAAGCTTGAGGACAATCTGAAATTTTAGTTTGTTACTCATAAACCTGCCGCGACTAGGTCAAATTGCAAAACCCAAAGCTTTTGTTAAAATCTGAGCATTATTTTCTGAGTTATTACCAGACAGACTGACTAAATTTGTGAACTGTTCTTTTGTGTTTCAGACTTTTGTTTGTTAAACAACTGCAGAAAAGTTTTATTGATATAAATCTTAATAATTTCAGGTCCACAAAAAACTGTTCCTAAGCATCATTGCTTAATAAGTGAAATATGCTTGCCAAAAGGTTTTACCTCCTACAGGATTATTTTTACTGAGCCTAAAATGGTTGGACAGTTGAAAGAAAATTTTTATGGTGATCAAAAATCATCAGGAACTATAAAAACATTGATGAACAAAGTTTGTGGAAGTTCTAAAATATTCGATTTTTATACTAATATCTCTGCCATCACTGGACAATTTTCATAACGATTTTCAAGTCCTTGTCATGGTAGTAACCTTATGTAAAAATTTCAACAGAATCTGACTGGCATTTTCCGAGTTGTAGAGTGAGAATTAAAAATCTGCATGAAATAAATATTTCTTTTATACCATATTGCTTACCCTGAATATCACGGTACATGCGTTGTAAAGCATTATATCCACCAGGAATGCTTTCTAGATTGCTCATGGCTCTATCATGGCTCCTCATTATTTCTTGAAGCATGGCAGGGTTACGAGCTAGAGCTAATGTCTGTCTTAACAATTCCCCATTATTGAGCATGTGAGTTATTTCAGGATTTCTTTCCATCAGTTCCTGCATTTGTGGATTTCTAGTGATAAGCTGTCTCATATTCTCAGTTACCTCAGGGTCACTCGTCAACCTTTGAACTAACTGCAAAACCAAACATGACAAGAATTAGGCTGACATTCATAGTCAACCCTTGAGGCATCAGTGCTGACTGAGGATTCATCAACCCTTGGAGCGTGAATGAACCATAAGTGACCCTCAAGTGGAGCTTAAAAATGTCTACATCACATTGGCATTGCCACACAGTGTAAGAAGTTTATTATTAGGTATATTTGAGAAAAAAATCAAAAGTCTACTACTCCTAAATATCTTAATGATGACAAAATATGCTCTTAAATATGCAGGAAAGTTAGCAATAAGTTTAATTTCATTTTATTTCATCTAGTTTTTAACAAATTCAATTTTGTTATCCAGTCAGTTATTTATATTCTATTCTTCTTCAAATTTTAAGGGTTAAATTTTGAATTTGTTGTATTTTAATATTTTTTACAATTGTGTTTTCTTTTTATAAACATGTGGTCTGTGTATGGTGTGGTTGCTTTTATTGGATTCTGAGAACATTTGTTTCAGTGATGTAATATTTTTTCCTTCACTGATGTTTCTTGCATGAATAAGTTTTTTGACATATTATTCAATGTGCTGAATAAACAATATCTATCTATCAACAATTATCACTGGTTTTCAAAACTCTCACAATTATCAAATTTCTAAAATTATTGAGCATTTCAAGTGTTTCCAAAATTTTAAAAATGTTCACCTTTCAAGTTTACATTTTCAATTTTCAGAATTTTCAAAACCTCCAAAACCATGCTTTTGAAAACATTGACAATGTGAGAAATCTTGAATATTTTGAAAATTCTGAGAATATTGATGATTTTGAGTTAGAAAGTATTGTGTAGTTTGGATTTTCCAAATCATAATTTCGGAATAAATTCAATTATTTTGATTAGCATGGATGGACACTTACACTGATCCAATACTGATCTGAATTAGATGAATCACCATCAGTCGAGGTCCCAAGATTCATGAGGTTAGTCAGACTACCTAGATTACCTAGGCTCCCTAAACTTCCTAGATTACCTAGGCTCCCTAAACTTCCTAGATTACCTAGGCTCCCTAAACTTCCTAGATTACCTAAGCCTCCAAGGCCTCCAAGATTAAATGAAGTTTGACTTGGTGAGGGTGTTTCTGAAAGATTAAATACATTTAAATTTCTCAATTCCGAAAAAATGTTATATCTAGGTCACACTATAAAGATGCATGAATTTAAATAATTTAGTTGATCAAATGTATTCCTAAGCCATTAATGTTAGGCACAATGATTGTGGTTCATAGTGATAACACTTTCACTGCTGAAAGTGTTGTGTGACACGTTTTATTGCCAGTTGCTAATGACACTTGTGTGATATCTGACTGTTTTTTTATAAATTTGCTTTTGGGATAAAGTTTTTTTTACTGAGTTTTAATAAAATTGTCTTGATATAACCTTTCCAACAGAAACAAATATAATGACACACATGTTATATGTGGGGTTCAGTTTATTACTTAGACAATTATATAGCCTAAAAAATTTAAATTTTAGAAAAGAAACATTGCTGCCTATGGGTTACTCTGCATCATAGAAGCTAGCAGTGAAAGTCTTAAAAGATAATTTGGTATAAAATGACTGAACCATTACTTAGAACTATCAATAAAATAAAAATGAATTTGCAATGATAAGCTAACTGCCACTATGAGTCATTTAATAGGGTATCTAAATTCAGATGAATAACTTATTAGACTTCAAGTGTGAAGTTTGTATAAAAGCCGTAGATGGTGAATGGACAAATATAAACACCAAAAACAATAACATATTTGTGAGGCGATTCAAGCATTTTCACATGACCAATATACATGGTATTTCTATTATCAATAGGACTTTATCAATTGTGAATGAGGCATAAAATCAATGAATCAATTATTATGAATAATTAATCACTGTACTGTTAGAAATAATACAATTTTATAGCAGTATACCAGAATGCAGGTAATTAAAAAATAGATTAAAAAAATACCTTGTGGTCGCGATTGTGAACTTTCCCCAGAGCGTTGACTGTTCCTTATGACCAAGTGGATTGTAAATCCATCTTGAATGTTATGTTGCTTCAAGGTGTCATTATCTTTCAGTATTTTACCAGCGAATATAAGACACAGCTGCTCAGGGTCAGCATTGAATTTTTTACGAATTATTTCCTTAAACTAATTAAACATTTCGTCACTTATGAGGTTAGATTGAACTGATAACTACTTACATCTTTTATGACTGCATTTTCGCTGATCTCAAACGACTCCTTTTCTTTGGGGGTTTTAATATGCACTGTTATCTTCTTTGAAGTATCTTCATCGTCCGATTCCTCGGTTTTCGTATCAGGGTTTTTAGATTCTACCGGAACGTCGTCAGCCATCTTTGCCTGGAATGACTCGTATTTTTAATACTATAGTAAAATCGAATACTATGATAGTTAATGTAAACGTAATAGGGTGTTATAATTACCTTTCTACAAGTATTCTACTTGAAATCGGATTGTATCACAATTAAATTTGATCAGGAAAAATAAACTGCCAAATACATCAGATTGCATGAATTCTGAATTGTCATATCACAAAACACATACACGGATGTCAAATCGTCAAATGATGAATGACAGTCGACGTCACACACGTCGGTGTCAGTCAATCATCGCGTCAGTCTGTAGTATCTCTAGACGCTTTGTGAAGGCCATAAAACACAATATCAGCAATATACTTTTATGCTCCATAGGACGAATAATTTGATCACAGTGTCGCCAATATCAATTCAAAACTGATTCGTCAGTGCTACCAATCGTGAATATTGTAACGTGACTGCATGGATGCAAGTGGTGGATAGAAATACGTCTTTGTACTGAGACTGTTTAGATTAAAATGGCGGTCAGGAATACGCGTTTGTACAATTAATCAACGGTTACGACTACAAGTTTATTTAACGGCCACGGAAGGATATCGACGAAAAGTGTAGTTGACAAAGTCGGCGCAACTTTGCCCCAATTCAAGCGACTTCCTCTTGTCGTTTCCAAGATACCAATGGTGAAGGTAGAATTTGAAACACCCGGTATATGCTAGCAGTGGAAGCTTAAAAAATATACCAGACACCTGATAAGTTTCAAGCCCTCATTTATAAATTGATTATGTGCACACTAAACACTATATGTAGTCAAATTTCAAAAAAAAAGCAGTGCGCACCCTGTAAAAATAAAATAGCACTTACCATTTTCCCGCCATTTCTGTATCACTGTCCCTGCGAAGTTTTCCTTCAGTCTTCTCGTAATCCAAAGGTGTAAATCACTACTAGCACTCACAAACACTTATTCCACATGCCACTAGCACATTTTCCTAGGTACGACAGATTTGTCCCTCTGAAAACAGAAATTTGCTATCCCGAAGAGCCCGTGTATAAGAAGTCTGCGGTATCTCTGAAGTTTTCCTTCAATCTCCCCGTAATCAAAGGCGTAAACCACTTCAAAAACTGATAAACATCTAATCTACATGCCACGAAAACATTTTTCGGGGGGCGGCCGAAGTTTCCCTTTGAAAACACTGAAAATAATGCTAACGAAAAGCCCGTGTAAAAGGCTCGCGAAGACTGTTGAAATCAATTTATTGCAACATTGCATACCAGACAACAGACGTTTTTCTAGGATTTGAAGTTGGGGGGTCGCCTGAACTCAGTTCTGAGAATTCTTCCAGACCTGTTTGTATTAGTAAGGGCAATTTTGTTTATTTTAGTTACTAATTTCTGTGATATCAAGGTACCTACTGCAGTTACATAAATATGATGGCAAAAACATAGATAAACCATATTGTGATATTCTTCCTTTGCAAAACATTCTGTTATATTTCTTCATAACAGATCAACTACGTATCAATTAAATAAGGGTCATTTTAAAACGAAATACTGAAATTCGGTCTTACAAACGGTGTCAAGTAGGTTGACTCTGTATCTTACTTGAAGTTGGATGAAATTTGTTGCTTGTTGGTTTTTGTCGAATTCTGTCATAGTCCAGTCATTATTGGTAACGGTATCGATCGAAATGCAGAACCTGCGCTCAAATCAGAATTTTTTAGTCGTGAATATAGCTCTTTTAGACCTATTTTATTGAATGAATAATTTTTGATAGCATTAAGAACAGGCTTAGCGAAAAATAATATTTTCTCAAATATCTACGATGGCTTACTGAATATCAACAATCTTGTGCTAACGAAATCCTGTTCCACTATCCCGGACACTACCAGTAGTCAGACAAATGTTATTATTGATGGTAAAATCTTGAATATTTGAAATCTTATACTTGCTGGTAATTGGTACCAGATTTATCATTTAATTTGTGTCAGTTTACATTTACAATTTCACATCCACAGTTGATATATTAGCGCGTTCAAAACAGCATGCATCCGGTCCCTCAATTTTTGTCATTTGTATAGTGAGTGCGAACTTTAACGGCAAGTCGAATTGTCAGCTGACAATATATAGATACTGTTCTTGTTACATATACAGGAGACATTCAAAATTTACGAAATAAATTAATCTTGATATGTTATTTCAACATTTTGAGGTCGAAGTGGAGTGGTCGCTCGTCATACTAGTCAAAATCCAATAGTCGGACACTTATCCGAATGGTGTGGTCGATATCGGTCTACCTTTTTCTCTTTAAAAATAAAAACTATTAAACTTTTGTCTTGGAATTAAACAAACCAAAATACGACTGAAGCCCCACCCAGTGGGCGTGTACAACGAAAGATAACAAATTATGTGGATTATGGCCAGAGATATTGTGTCTGACTACTGAAATGAACGAATTTTCAAAACATAGAACCGGTAATATATTTCATTGGTATCCAGCTCAACAATATATCAACCTATATATACATTATTAAATATTGCCAGAAGGTTCCTACGTATAATAAACTGTCAATTATCTTTTGAAAGGCTTTTGCGCGGTAAAAATGTTGCTTTCTCGAGAAAAGTTTTGCGATGCAGCTGGTTAATTGAACACCCTGTTACAACTACACGCATAGGTCTGCAAATCCTACCACATGAGATACATATACCGAAGTCTCGCCTTAACTGATAAACGGCCGCGTTATGGATGCGTCTGTGTTATTTTATAAGCAGAGACGAGCTCATAGGGTGGAAATACATTGCGAAACAAAACTCAATCCGTAGGAAACTAATAGTTTATTCGTTGGTAACATGAGTAGGGTAACATGAAAATGCATTTTGAAAATATGTAAGGCTAAGGAATTAAAACTGGCTAATAACTATGCAGATACATGTTTTGTATATTATGGGGTATATATTAAATTATATAATGCTTATAAAACCTGTGAAATCGCAGAAAACTCTAATAGTTTAACAATTTGGACCTCTGAATATATATTTACTTATATAATGCTTATAAGGTGCACCATACACTATCACACCAGTAATTCACTGATTTTATATTTCCTGTCGGTAACTTCCTAAGAGAGCTCCCTCACAATTTACTGTTCGATATACACGAACTAGTTTCATTCAATATTTCACGGTCGAGTATTGAAAAACTTGTCACAAGACAAAAAATATTCAGTATTTAGTTCAGAAAGAACAAAACACTCAACACAAGCAGATATAAAAAGAGTAAAACAAGCAGTGTGTGTGGTATTAACGAAGTTATGTTTTTTAAGGGTCCATTCTGTATGAGATGTTACATAGATACAATGCCCTTCTAAGGAACTTGACTTTCACTATATACCATGCATAAATTATGAATGATAAATATAATATTTGAAAATAAACATTCAAACTCACTCAGTGGAGGATTGAAACTTAAGAGATGCTTGCTAATGATTCATTTTAAGATGTCTATTTACGCATTTTCCATATTGCCGAGGCAACCCATTTTCTGATGATGCTTATTGCAATTGATGTACGAGTATATCGAACAATGCACGTGACAGCTATCCTATATTTTAGTATCTAGAAATTCGTTACAACCATGTTTCTTTTCCATGAATGTCACAGTTGCTCAAGAATTGTATCCAGACGCAGGATTTGTTTTAGGTTTATGCTTATGTGTAGAACTGGAGGCGATAACTTGTATAAAAATACCTCTTCGGAGGTACAGGCCCTTGAGGACGTCACTGGAAGGTGTATTTTAATGATGCGCTGCGTCGCGCTGTGAGAAAATCAATTTTCGTTGGCGTCTAAGTAAATTTCTTCACCTAAATGGTCAGGCTTCCTAAATTCTTATATTTTAATCATCAATATACAGAGTGTAAGTTCTTAGCGCTGGTCCCTCGCTGGAGATTTGATTTTTGTCTATGAGCACCACCATATGATGCCCAAAATTTGTTTGGTACGTAAAAAAGCCGTCAAGTAGGTTGACTCTGCACTTCCCAAGCAATGCTGCCGTCAGTCATAAAATATTATGTTCGGTGTAAAGTTAGCCCTTCGTAGAAACGTGAATAACAGAGAAAGTCAGTTAAATAGGCCCATGCACTTAGTTTCTAGAATCAAGCCATGCAATTTTTCACAATTACAATACTCTCTCACGAGTGGCGTGGGAAGTAAAAATCGTCTAATCGTACGGGGTAGTTCAGGAAAAAAAGATATTTAGTGTTGCAGATTTACTGTCTTCGCTTTTTATAAGAACATCTTATATCTTTTTAATTCTGTATCAACCCGACACGCCCGCATATTCTGGGGCACCCTGTATGTACAATAAATGGAGAAAATATAAATTCATTATAAAAAGTATTTCAATTCAATATAAAAGTAATCTTATGGCTGTTATTGTTCTGAAACATAGGCTTGCTGATGCCAAAGGACGGGGTAAAAAATTCACTTCCTTTCTGTATCGTAATAACAAAACGAACTGCTATTATAGATTTCTTTCTAGCGTAATGTCATTCCAACGTCATTTCTTGTGGTATACGTAGGCCATTATTAATAGCTGTTGACGTCATTAAAACGTCATGTTAGACCTCTACAGTGGGTATGGATATTTTCTAGCTAGGCCTTCTTTATGGTCTGTTTGTTGAAGCTGAGACGCCTAGACCTGAAATGATACTGACCTTTATTTTCAAGATCGGTGGGCGAAGATTCCACATTTCTAACATCATCCTCCCAGTTCCAAATTGCAATTTCAGAAACTACTTTTTTAACTCCAGTTTGAGTAAAATTCCTTACGATTGCATGCTTACCCTTTTTACTTTCTGGAGAAGAAACATGGCCCAAAAAGGCAATAAAATCATATCTTTAAAAGTACATTGAATCAATTCTATTTGTGATAGTACTTCCAAAGCATCAAGAACCAGACCAGTACATCAGTGACAAATTACATTTAGCTTTATACATAACTTAATTTTATATAACGTCCAATAATATTTATAACACTAATCAACATTTAACAACTTTGCAAATTTCATCGAATGTACAACACAATAACGTTACAGTTTATTACTGATATGTAAAACTTCTCTACTATACGTATAATAAAACACAAATAATCTCTTAGTCTAACATTTTTCGTAGCAGCTTCTTCTTACGGATAAGCGACGGAATAAGAACTGGGTAATCGTGAAAATTGTGATTATGATTTTCATCGGTTTTTATGTCACTTTGTCTATCCCATTAAAAATAAATGAGTACCTTGGAGCCGTATCGTCAGTCGTACCTACAATTGTGGTTGCCTTTATGACCTCTTTGACTTTCATAGTCTTTTCTCTCCTTAAGAAACGATGGGGTATTTCTACATTTCTACTGTTCCGTGTCAGCGTCAGCGCTCTCCTGTTGTAAAATTATGTATTCTTTTTGAATTGTAGGAAAGTTCAGGTTGATGGAACATTTGATGTAAATCAAAAGCATGAACAATTTGATGTAAATAGATATTTGTGACATAACTGCAAGGTAGAGCGCTGACACGGAGCAGTAGAAAACTATGAAAATCAAGGAGGCCATACAATTGTAAGAACGACTGACGATACGACCCTAAACGTCCCAAACAATTACGAGAGTTATAGAAGAAGCACACAATTTCATTATTCTACGTTTCACAAATTACTCATTAATTTAGAATTGAACGCTCTGGAAACATTTTTAGAAGTATACCGATTCGGTACCTCCTACGTATTTCCAAGTTACGCATGCAAAAAATAAGAATATCCGCATCCTCCATATAATTGACGACACGTGACAAAACTGTGATCGCAAAGTGAAAATTGAGAAACATCTTTTAGTTTTCCTCATTGTATTTAGTTGTGACCAAAAAAAGTTTGTTGAGGCATTCAAGATCATAAAAATATTTTCGTTGTTACTTAAAGTTGGGTAATTTGTACCATTTGGCATACTTTACGTTTTTATAAAAATGCACAAAAAAAAACTTGATAGTGAAAAAAGTATTTTAAGGAAACGGAAGTATTTATATCGCCTCCTAATATTTTTAATAATATCTTTAATAAAATAGTGTTCATTTAAGTGGAATAATGGAACTGTGTAGACCATAAAATGTTGCATTTTAAAAATGTCAAATAACGTTGCCAGTAGTACCAGAACTGGCCAATACGCTCCTTTGTCCCGAGAGTGTCGATATTGTAAAACAATCTACAAAAGGAAGCTTTACCCATCATAATCGTGGCAAACTTCGTACATCCAGAACTGGCCAATACGACCACTCCTTTGACCCGAGGGTGTCGAGATTGTGGAACAATCTACAAGAGGAAGCTTCACCCAGTTCTACTAACCTTAGGCAGTTCAAAAATCGGATTAACAAAATTTCTTTGGGATCCTTATAGCAGCCGCGGTGTCTCGACTTTTGCATCCGCGGCTGCTTCGGTAGAAAAAAGCAGTAAATTTGTTGGGTAGTACTTTTTAAAATGTGGGTTTTTAACCACCTATCCAGATCGACTTGTTCAAATAAATTATATTGAAAAATAAAGTGGTTATTGTTGATGTTTATAACTACTATTAAAATGCATATTTTTAGCATCATTCTTAACAACAACTTTGAAATAAGTAATTAATTTTTTGCATAAATTCTTGAAGTTGTAACTTTCAACAGTCCATTTTACTTTTGTAAAATGTTCTAGGAACATATCTTGGCCAAGAACAGTTGTTTAAATAATTCGTCTCTGGGGTAAACAATTCGCTTTTTACATAAACTATTAAACCAGTTTACCGATTATGTATGAAATTTAATTTGAAAATTATACAAGCAACACACTGAATGTTGAGGTTTTCCCATTATTAATAAACAACAACGCATATCTGGCTGAATCTTTTTATGTATTTGTCGAAATACCTATTTTGTCTCTGTCGCCTGGGCTATAACCACAGTCTGGTAAAGGAAGCGTAGACAAACATTAGAGTGGCGTAACAGGCTAAAATCAAGATAATGAATTCATATTCATAATCAGCAAATTGGACATGGCTAACCAATTTCGATGCTGCATCGTATGTGTCGGGTGTTTCTCGATTTTTCATGTATGCTCTGAAACATGCGAAACAACAGAAAAAGCTGAGGAGGACAAGATTAATTATGTTTTCGATGAAAATAGGATTTATCACTTTAAGCTAGATAACCTTAGAGCCGAAGTTAAAGAAAAACTTGTAAAATATGAAGCTGAAATTGAGACATTAATACAGCAATCAAAAGAGGAAGACGAATACATACATACTAGGTTGAGAAAAAAAACAACCGATTTTTAAGACAAAGTTTTTGATACCGAGAGAAGCCTCAATAGTACCATTAATGGCCAATGCAATATTATAGAAAAAGCAAAGAAAATGTGGAATTAATACGAATTAACTCCGACTTGCAATCAAGATTGCTCTGAAATAACAACTTGCTCATCATGAATTGATAAGAAAAGAAATGCTAGTCAACATTGAACCCCTCACTGAAAAAAACGGCCTACTTATAAGAATAATAAGAACCGATGAAGATTTCAATGATGTGAATGGTTATTGTGATACCCTGAGCTATAACCACCTCTACTCTACGCTATTCTGAAAAGCAAACTTGCCGAGTTTGCTGTTTAGCATTGAAATACGTAGTTTTTATCGTATCATCATATCGGTACGTGGTGATGTAACAAATTTTTTTCGATCCACATATCAACTCATTTTAATCGATTATTAATTTTAAATAAATTGAGGTAATAAATCTAAGTAAATGGTTTGATAGATTTAATTAAACGATTGCGTTCTGATTTAATTAAACTAGTTTCTTAGATTCAAGTAAAATGTCTTAGAAATCGGAGTTTAATTGAACTAATTAAACTTGTTAGCTCATAAATGTTTTAATTGGCCTAATTCAAATTTTGATTGGTTAAATTAAAATTCTTTCTCGGTGTATAATACCTACTGTGGAACACGTTTTACAGATATCATCAAATTTCAAGTTTTACGAGCGACCGCCAATCACAACTTTTGGTCAGAAATCCACAATTCAGTAAATAATCAGGTGGTACAATTTACAAACCGGTACAATATACCCAACTTTCCCCTGTAACTTGTAACTCACACAACTTTATTAAAATATGATGATGCAGATTAGATTATAACATAACTTTGGAAGCACGAACAAACAGTTATATACATTACATATATCAGAAGAATTCGAGTACCAGTGTGGTTCTTGGATTGCTCGGCGTGACAAAACTGTAACGATCAACTAAATTTGCTGTAGATGATTCCATAATATACACTTTCCACTGGAGGTATTTGCTCACTATAGCGTGTCATGCTGAAACAATGTCATACGCGTATCATACGTAGTGTTTGGACGACGGTACCAAACAGACAGGTGATGAGTTTAGAATTGCGCTGATAAACCCAATATGAAAATTAATGGTAATAATAATGATAAATAATCAGAGGTAAATCATAGCAGATGTTCAAAATGTTGTCCATTATTTTGTAGGCAAAGCCTGACTCTACTCTGTACATTATTTACTGCTCGATTTACTATATTTTTCAGTCTTCCAAACTCTGTTGTCATGTTCAATTTGAGGTCTGGGGCTTGATTCTAAATGAGTTTCGACCGTTGAAACCGATTTCGATGGCGACTTGCGACGATATACTTGATTCGCTAGATATTTTTGCCATCTGATCTTCTATATTCAAATTATCAGTGTCAAAATTATCATAGCTAATTAAGTGTATCGTCACAAGGCGCCATCGAAATCAATTTCAATGGTCTAAACTCACTTAGAATCAAGCCCCATGTCTGGTATACGAAACAAATGAAATCCGCTAATTTCAAGGCCTACCTAGGAATGTCTTTTTACCAAGGTTTGGCAATGACAATGAAAGACGTATTAAACATTTTGAAATCAGATTTAAAACTCTATTCAGCTGCGCAAAAATGTACAGTGTTTATGTGCAATTCATTTTGAAATTCTACTACAAATCATTTTGGAAAAATTCAGTTTTTTCAGTCTCCCTCCGGAAGTACTTTGAATTCCGAAACATTCTAAGCGGCATTTTGTTGATTACCTAAATACGCAACTTTGCCTCCATTTAAATGACGTCCTATCTCTTACAATTTCCGACATCCCAATGGTGAGGAATTTGAAACACCCTGTATAATAAAACAAAAACTTCCCGTCCTAGGCGAATTTTTCTCTTGACGTGTCCGTAGATGGTAGATGGTCTCTGACTGTCGAACGCAGAAGTACCACGCGATGGGACCAGTATGTTTGCATGCCACATGCACCGGTATTTAGGCTTTAGACATTTGTGCTGGTTCAAGTATAAAAAACGTTGTAATGAAACGGAATGCGATTGTTCCGTTGCTACTAGTTCTGGATATGATTCTAACACTATACAATATAATGGGCAAGTGGGAAATATATTGTACTAAGCCTAAGCTATGTTACAGTTTTGTCACGGAGTGCATCACACGTTATATACATACATTAACAAATTCATTTGTAGTAACGAAAATACTTTTCACAACAATACAATAATGTACGATGACATAAGTTAACTTTCAAGGTCCATCCACTAAGTATTCTTTTATCCTAAAACGGGTAATCGGATCACTATCACTATTTATGCTAAAAAGAATACTAAGGGATAGATATAAACTTTACTGAGTCCGCAAGCAGAGTTTCATCAAACGTTAAACCGTTATGAATCTACCAAGATGTAGCAATTTACACGGGTCGCTCCGCCATGATAAGGATCACACAAAATCATAGAATCTTAGGCCCGATCAGTAATGAGAAGGCATCTTAGTAGTAGCGAAGTATTAAGTCTAATGAATTTGGTGGGTTGAGATGCCTCTCAAACTAGCGAAATATTATCGATTAGTGTAAGACGGGCCTCAAAGTAAACGAAGTATACAAAGTATACGAAGTATACGAAGTATACAAAGTATACAAAGTATACGAAGTATACGAAGTATATAAAGTATACAAAGTATACAAAGTATACAAAGTATACAAAGTATACAAAGTATACAAAGTATACAAAGTATACAAAGTATACAAAGAATACAAAGAATACAAAGTATACAAAGAATACAAAGAATACAAAGAATACAAAGAATACAAAGTATACACCGTATGCAACGTATGCAACGCAAGCAACGTATGCAACGTATGCAACGTATGCAACGTATGCACCGTATGCACCGTATTCACCGTATGCACCATATGCAACGTATGCAACGTATACAACGTATGAAACGTATACAAGGTATACAACGTATACAGCGTATACAACGTATGCAACGAATACAACGTGTACAATGTATATATTTTATGCAATGTATACAATATGTACAGTGTCGATGTATATAATGAGCATATTTTAGGAACGACCTACTATGATAGCACATATTTAAACTGAATACCTAAATACTGAATATTAGCTGGGAGGCCTCGATACGCGAATTGGCTCTGACGATTTGTTTTGACTTGTATGGTTTTTTGGGCTGTCCGGTAAGTTGTTACATCCCAGCAGTCGCAAATTCAAAATATGATGAAGTCAACTGATGGATCAGATGGTGGTACATAACTAATCGGTGGTACTTTCAATAGCAATATTTGTAGTTTGTTTATTCTACAAAAGATTAGTTACGTGTATCAATATTATAGCCTAGAGTACTTTAAGTGTATAAACATGTTAAGTGCCATTCGTTGAATTTCCAGTAATTTCTGAAAAATACTATAATCATAGGTAGGCTCTTATTGTAAAAACGTTAATGTGATTTTTTAAAAGATCAAGTCCCAGACCGATAGGATTCATGAGGAATCAATATTTTGATTAGTATGGTTAGATTTTGATTGATTGTTAATTCATTTTTGGATAAATTTGTATTTTTTATAGAAATCTGCATGTAGCTCCCCATACTACAGTATATACTACACAAGAACGCAATTTCAGGTAACACGAGGTATTCGTAATTTGTTTTACAATAGGGAAGCTCTATTAACAAAGCTGAAGGACAGCATAAAATCAAGCTTCCAAAGCTGTGTCACCTAAACTGTGTCAGGCAGGAAGGTACAGTACCACACTAGCATATAACCAGATAAAAGTTGATAGTTTACTCTCGATACTATAGGCAAATAAAACTAGAATTAGAAGAGTATATTCGTCAAAAGTTTATGTTTTGTGTTTTAACATTTTGTGTTGCTCTAAAATCTATCGGTTCTGAGACATTTCAAAAACATGATGCATGAAAAATTAAAAATTATGTACATATTTTATTTTTAGTTTAGTTTGCGTATTTCGTTTATTATTGGCACTTGCATCTTTTTTATGCCGCTTTAATACTGCAATTTTAAGCATCAAGTTAAAAATTTGGAACTACTTACATTCTAGAAGTATAAAAATCGTGAAAATATGATTATAGTATTTCAGTAATATGAACAATCTTTTCTTGCAGATTTTCCTAATAATTCTACTGCTTTTAAGGTGACTTTAATCAACTGTTCAGCTAATACTGTATAATATTAAGGCTCTAAAACTTGTTAACATATTTTTTTTTATATTGGATAACTAGAAAAATACTTTTTGCTTCCGCTTCTTTCAGGTCCAGCACTTTTCATAGCATATTACATAAGCAAATTCAAATTTATTCAAATATAAAAAATATTGCCACCGTTTTTAGTCTCCATGCTGCGGCAAATTCATCTTTCCAAAAAGCAGAAAAAGATCCTCGACGTTTCGACAATTATTTCATTATATGACCTTCAAAATTGCCATCTGATCGAAGTAAAATAGTAAGAGTTACTCAGTGTAATACGCAGTGAATTATCCTGGACTATAAAGCTTTATATCCGTTGTCCTAGTTGTGAGATGTCAAAAACTCTTTGCACAAATACAATTAAGAAATTATTCCTATCATACCATATGCGTTTGATATTTTTTTTTAAGAAATATGTCCTGTAAAAAATATGTGCCATGACCAGCAAAGTCTTGCTTCCACAAAATCAAGTGTGGTTATGAGGTAATTTATTTTACTCCATTAAGTTGTTTGTATATTGAAAGCTCTGCATATTTATAGATATACAGACTGTAACAAAAGTTTGGAGCGCATCAAATATCTGATCTCTACATTTTTGACTAACAAACTAGTTAATAAATCATCAATAATTCCTGCAAGAGTACCAGTGCATAAGTGTGAGCCATTAAGAACATATTGTGAGTAAACACTCTACGTTTATGCGATAAATAAGATCAGAATCTGAAATAATTACTTACGATATCTCCGGCGTGCGCTAGCACAGGTAATCCCAAACACAACAAATATTTGCGGATAAGCAGGACCGTATCGAGAAATGATACGGCATCTACCTGGAGTTTATTTCACTATACCATAATGTCATCTGTTAATAACCAAAACTCATCTGAAAGAAACACAACAGCTCAGTCCTACTCAAACGTACTTACTCAAAACACAGTCAAGTACCCAAACAAGGATCAAGCGATTATATTTAATTCTTCTGATGGAGCTAAGCTACAAGACTACCTACTTAAGCTTGGTCCAATCGTCAACCCGAAAAATATATTGTTCTGTTCCAGAATTTCCAACAACAGAATATGTATATATTTAGCAACTAAACAGTTAGTAGACACCTTTTTAGAGAATCATGGACAAATAGAGGTAAATGGTGAGATCTTCAGAGGACGGAGATTAGTTTCTCCTTCAGACCGTCTAGTGATATCAAATGTGAGTCCTACAGTTCCTCACTCAGTTCTTAATGAAAAACTACTGCAACTAGGTCTGAAACTCGTATCACCAATTTCATTCTTGAGAATAGGTGCTCCACTTCCAGAGTACAGTCATATTCTGAGCTTTCGAAGACAAGTTTATATAGAACCCAACCAACAGTCCCTAAATATCCCAGACTCCATTGAAATAACTCATGAAAACCTAGCCTACCGCATTTTTCTATCGCTAGATAGTCAAAAGTGTTTCAAATGCAACAAACAAGGTCATATAGCTTCCCAGTGTCCACTACCCTCCCAGCAACGACAAACAAATCCACATGAGACCCAATCTACCAAAGAACCTAAATCAACGAGCACACACCACACAAGCAATCAACAAATAATAACAACAGAGACCCAAGAAACAGCACTATCTCAACATATACCTAACCCGCGTGAAGCAGATGTAGATCTACCAAATACTAGCCAACCAGTAATCGACAAAAGTCCAATCCCCACCAGAAAAACGCAAGAGCTGATACCAGAAATACAAAATTACACCCAACAAAACAAACCGGATCAACAAAATAGAGTTATACCACACACTTCAACAGGCAGTAAATATATAGCTACTCACAACAACCCATCCCCAAAACGCTACTTCTCAGAAACAATCTCACCGACAACTCCTACGCATGAAAATTCAACCCCTCCTACATTTGCAGTTCCCAACAATATTAAATCAAAGAAACATAAAACAGATATGCAGTCATCCTACATCTCCCAAGACGCTCTAGCAACCGCCAAAACATTCATAGACAACCAGATGCCTGCCCTTCCCTTGAATAGTGACCAGTTTAAAAGCCTTCTCGAGAACAGTCATGGAACACAAGACATCACAAATATAATTAAAGATTATACGGATGACATTAAAGGACTTATAGAAATGATACTATTAGTATACTCCCACATAACCGATAAAACAGTCAAAAACAGATGCACAAGACTCCGTAAAAAGCTAGAACGCTACATTGACAACAACACTAACGAATGCCTTAGTGATACCTCCTCCATAGATTCAACTTTCTAATTACCTGAAAATCGTAATGCACATTGGACTAACTTCATTGTTGCAGTGGAACCTCAATGGGTACTACAGTCATCTGAACATGCTACAGAAACTCATATCAGATCAAAATCCAGACATAATCTGCTTACAGGAAACTCGCTTTACTGATACCAACACACACTCACCAAAAGACTACAAGGGATTCTTTAAGAACCGTAATTATACTTCCAATCAAATAGCTAGCGGTGGCACTGCTATATATATTAAAAGTAATATAGTAGCGAAACCTATAAATCTAAATACACAGCTAGAGGCAGTTGCTATCACAATAGAAGTCCCTCAAAAGATCAGCATCTGCAACATATATATACCACCGAACTATCAATTAGACATTAATGAACTAGAAATGCTACTCCAACAGATACCCTCTCCACGACTCATCATGGGCGACTTTAACGCCCATCACCTTGTTTGGGGTTCCAAAAGAAACAATGCTCGAGGAATAATAGTAAAGGACTTACTAGATACAACTGATCTTAGCATAATGAATGATGGTACAAAGACAAGGCTTGATCTTGGAAATGGAACATTCTCAGCAATAGACCTAACTTTAACCTCAACAAATCTGATAACCTCACTGCACTGGCAAGTACTAGATGACCTTTATGGAAGTGACCACTTTCCTATCAGAATATCTAATACGGAAGTCCAAAACAGAACTACACCATTCGAAAGGTGGAATTTGTATAAAGCCGACTGGATGAATTTCTCGGACTACATAGAACGACACATCCAAGAACTTCAAATAGTTAGCGACATTAACCAAAGTGTATACAATTTCAACAATATCATCTTGAGCGCAGCACATAATCACATCGGTAAAACCAAACCAATGATAAACAAAAACTCCGTTTCATGGTGGAACGAAGAGTGCGGCGCAGCAATCACAGCAACCAAGAAAGCATTAAATAAATACAAAAGACAAAGAACTACTGACAACCTGATAGATTTAAAGAGAAAGAGGTCACGTGCAAAACTAATAACAAAGAAAAGTCAAAAGGATTCTTGGAAAAAGTTTGTAAGTAGTATAAATAGTTCAACACCATTAGCAACAGTCTGGAAGAAGATCAAAAGCATAACCGGAGCCAAGTCATACTCACCTATAAAATGCTTGAAGGATGGAAACACAACACACACAACGAATGAAGCAATAGTTGAAGCATTTAGTGAAACTTACCTCAAAAGTTCCAGCAACCAAAATTACAGCGATGAATTTCTAAAACACAAAACAGAGCTAGAATCAATACCAATATCAATACAGAACAACCAAGACCCAGTGAATATAAAAATCTCCGAACACGAAATGGAAGAAGCCCTTAACGACTTGAAAGAAACTACTGCAGGACCTGACGACATACCTACTATCTTTCTGAAAAATCTTCCTCAAGTAGCTAAACAACATTTACTAAGAATCTTCAACAAAATATGGACTGAGAATATGTTTCCTGATATATGGCGCCAAGCATTAACGATACCGATACTAAAACCAACCAAATCATCTCTTGTGCCTGAATCTTATAGACCAATAAGTTTAACATGCGCTATGTGCAAGCTATTAGAAAAAATCATCAATAAAAGGCTCCTATGGAGCCTAAATAAGTCGAATCTACTAGCTAAGGAGCAGTCCGGTTTTAGACAGAACAGATCCACCATAGACAATGCAGTAGACCTGGAAACATACATATATGAAGCTTTCGAGAACAAACAGCATTGCCTTGCGGTATACTTTGATATGACTAAAGCATTTGACACTATTTGGAGACATGATATCATCTTAAAATTACACGGATGGGGTTATGATGGGAATATCGTTGCTTTTATATCCAATTTTCTGAGCAATAGGAGTTTTCAAGTCCGTTCGAATGGAGTTCTATCCAAACCCAAACTACAAGAAAATGGCATTCCGCAAGGATCAATAATCAGCCCGACATTGTTCTTAATCGCTGTCAACGACATTCTTAGTTACATTGAAAAACCAGTTCAAGCACGTCTTTATGCGGATGATATGATAGTGTATATAAGAGGAAAAAACCCAACAACCAATACAGAACTCATACAAAAAACAATTCACAAATTGGAACAATGGACAAAACACTCCGGGTTATCATTTTCACCTGAAAAGACAAAATATATTATATTCTCAAGAAGACAGATAATCCAACTCAGAGTACCACTAACGCTTCATAACATATCCTTAGAGCAAACACAAGAAATCAAATTTCTGGGACTCGTATTCGATCATCGATTGACCTGGAAAAAACACATAGAGTACCTAGTTACAAAATGTGAAAAAAGAATGACAGTATTAAAATACTTATCCAACAGACACTGGGGAGCTGAAGGCAAATCCTTGCTCTACCTATACCGATCACTGATAAGATCTAAAATAGACTATGGTAGCATAATCTACGCCTCAGCTAGCCGTTCAACTCTAAAACCTTTGGATAGCATACACCACAGAGCACTTCGCTTAGTACTTGGAGCATTTAGAACAACACCAGTCCAAAGCTTATATTGTGAAGCCGGCGAACTGTCGCTGAATGACAGAAGGGAGATACTAAGCTTAACATATGCCACTAAAATAGCATCAAATCCAAGTATCCCTGGTCACAAGTACATAGGACAGATAAATAGAGGAATCCAGCTGGGCGTTTCCAATGCATCACAGAAAAAACCGTTTTACAGAAGAATCTCTGACTACTTGAGAAAATTAAATATCGCACAAATTCCTGCAACTACCATCAGACCTAGTGCAGACATTGCTCCTTGGACAATGCAGAGGCCAAGCATCAACAAAGCTCTCACAAGAATGAGTAAAACAGACACGCCAGCACCAGTAATAGTACAAAATTTCCAGGAAATAGTCAACAAATACCAACACCATGAGAAAATATATACAGATGCATCAAAACTTGACAATAGAGTAGGAACAGCTGTTGTGACATCCACTACTACCATTAAAATGAAATTACCAGACGAAGCAACAATTCTAACAGGAGAATTATATGGAATATTAGAAGCCATGAAACACGTACAGAATCAGAACATCCAACGAAGCCTCATAATAACTGATTCTCTAAGCTCGCTTCAGCTTATAGAGCAGATATATACGAAAAACCACGTGGTGCACCAAATTAAGCAGATTCTCCACTCATTACAAGCAGACAACCATGATGTTGTATTCGTTTGGGCTCCTTCTCACGTTGGTATCCAAGGCAACGAAAAAGCAGACCATCAAGCTAAACTAGCAGCAAACTTGGATCACACATCAACCATAAACATCCCAGATACAGATATAAAATCTCACCTTAAACAAAGAGCTATTCAAACCTGGAATACCAACTGGCAGAACAACACATCAAAGCTGTTTGAACTGAAACCCAGATTCGGACCATGGACAACACACACAACAAACAGAAAACACCAAACAATCATCACACGACTCCGTTTAGGTCACACCCGGATCACCCATGGACATCTCATCACGCAGGAACCAGAACCCATGTGCGAAGTGTGTGAAACCCATCTCAGTGTCAAACACATATTAGTGCAGTGCCCTTTGTTAGAGCACTATAGAGTGGAATGTAACCTCACATCATCAACCATGTGTGATATTTTAGCACCAAATAGCAACATAAACAATCTATTACGTTTCCTACAGCAAACTAATGTATTATATAAAATATAGCATGTAAGCCGTACCGCTAATGGCCTTTAGGTCGAAGCGGGTAATTAAATAAAAAAAAAAAAAAAATATCTGACGAATGACTCATCTATTTTTTTTTTAAATTGGTAGGTTTAGGTTCGAAACTACGGCGGATCGTTGATGATATCCGCGATGTTGCCAAATCTACAGTATTTCAGAATCTGATAGCAACTTCTGTTTTTCTTATGGAATGCTATAAATTTTATTCTGAATACTTTTATTAAACATACTTTGACAAACAATACAAGGTATTTTTTTCACAT